GCACAAAAATAATGAAGCTAAATCCTATAAAAGAGAGGAAAAAATGTTGAATTTTAAGAAATTCGGATTTTTGAATTTTTGATAATTTTCGATAATTTTAGATTTTTTACCAAAGAGTCGAGACAATTTAATAAGTAAAGTATTTTCCAAAAGCACAAAAATAATGAAGCTAAATCCCATAAAAGAGAAGAAAAAATGTTGAATTTTAAGAAAATCGGATTTTTGAATTTTTGATAATTTTCGATAATTTTAGATTTTTTACCAAAGAGTCGAGACTATTAAATAAGTAAAGTATTTTCCAAAAGCACAAAAATAATAAAGCTAAATCCCATAAAAGAGAAGAGAAAATGTTGAATTTTAAGAAATTCGGATTTTTGAATTTTTGATAATTTTCGATAATTTTAGATTTTTTACCAAAGAGTCGAGACAATTTAATAAGTAAAGTATTTTCAAAAGCACAAAAATAATGAAGCTAAATCCCATAAAAAAAAAGAAAAAATGTTGAATTTTAAGAAAATCGGATTTTTGAATTTTTTCGAATTTTTGATAATTTTAGATTTTTTACCAAATAGTCGAGACAATTTAATAAGTAAAGTATTTTTCAAAAGCACAAAAATAATGAAGCTAAATCCCATAAAAAAAAGAAAAGATGTTGAATTGCAAGAAAATCGGATTTTTGAATTTTTTCGAATTTTTGATAATTTTAGATTTTTTACCAAATAGTCGAGACTATTAAATAAGTAAAGTATTTTCCAAAAGCACAAAAATAATGAAGCTAAATTCTATAAAAGAGAGGAAAAAATGTTGAATTTTAAGAAATTCAGATTTTTGAATTTTTGATAATTTTCGATAATTTTAGATTTTTTACCAAAGAGTCGAGACTATTAAATAAGTAAAGTATTTTCCAAAAGCACAAAAATAATGAAGCTAAATTCTATAAAAGAGAGGAAAAAATGTTGAATTTTAAGAAATTCGGATTTTTGAATTTTTGATAATTTTCGATAATTTTAGATTTTTTACCAAAGAGTCGAGACTATTAAATAAGTAAAGTATTTTCCAAAAGCACAAAAATAATGAAGCTAAATTCTATAAAAGAGAGGAAAAAATGTTGAATTTTAAGAAATTCGGATTTTTGAATTTTTGATAATTTTCGATAATTTTAGATTTTTTACCAAAGAGTCGAGACAATTTAATAAGTAAAGTATTTTTCAAAAGCACAAAAATAATGAAGCTAAATCCCATAAAAAAAGAAAAAATGTTGAATTGTAAGAAAATCGGATTTTTGAATTTTTTCGAATTTTTGATAATTTTAGATTTTTTACCAAATAGTCGAGACTATTAAATAAGTAAAGTATTTTCCAAAAGCACAAAAATAATGAAGCTAAATTCTATAAAAGAGAGGAAAAAATGTTGAATTTTAAGAAATTCGGATTTTTGAATTTTTGATAATTTTCGATAATTTTAGATTTTTTACCAAAGAGTCGAGACTATTAAATAAGTAAAGTATTTTCCAAAAGCACAAAAATAATGAAGCTAAATTCTATAAAAGAGAGGAAAAAATGTTGAATTTTAAGAAATTCGGATTTTTGAATTTTTGATAATTTTCGATAATTTTAGTTTTTTTACCAAAGATTCGAGACAATTTAATAAGTAAAGTATTTTCCAAAAGCACAAAAATAATGAAGCTAAATCCCATAAAAGAGAAGAAAAAATGTTGAATTTTAAGAAAATCGGATTTTTGAATTTTTGATAATTTTCGATAATTTTAGATTTTTTACCAAAGAGTCGAGACTATTAAATAAGTAAAGTATTTTCCAAAAGCACAAAAATAATAAAGCTAAATCCCATAAAAGAGAAGAGAAAATGTTGAATTTTAAGAAATTCGGATTTTTGAATTTTTGATAATTTTCGATAATTTTAGATTTTTTACCAAAGAGTCGAGACAATTTAATAAGTAAAGTATTTTCAAAAGCACAAAAATAATGAAGCTAAATCCCATAAAAAAAAAGAAAAAATGTTGAATTTTAAGATAATCGGATTTTTGAATTTTTGATAATTTTCGATAATTTTAGATTTTTTACCAAAGAGTCGAGACTATTAAATAAGTAAAGTATTTTCCAAAAGCACAAAAATAATGAAGCTAAATCCCATAAAAAAAAAGAAAAAATGTTGAATTTTAAGAAAATCGGATTTTTGAATTTTTGATAATTTTCGATAATTTTAGATTTTTTACCAAAGAGTCGAGACAATTTAATAAGTAAAGTATTTTGAAAAGCACAAAAATAATGAAGCTAAATCCCATAAAAAAAAAGAAAAAATATTGAATTTTAAGAAAATCGGATTTTTGAATTTTTTCGAATTTTTGATAATTTTAGATTTTTTACCAAATAGTCGAGACTATTAAATAAGTAAAGTATTTTCCAAAAGCACAAAAATAATGAAGCTAAATTCTATAAAAGAGAGGAAAAAATGTTGAATTTTAAGAAATTCGGATTTTTTAATTTTTGATAATTTTCGATAATTTTAGTTTTTTTACCAAAGAGTCGAGACTATTAAATAAGTAAAGTATTTTCCAAAAGCACAAAAATAATGAAGCTAAATTCTATAAAAGAGAGGAAAAAATGTTGAATTTTAAGAAATTCGGATTTTTGAATTTTTGATAATTTTCGATAATTTTAGATTTTTTACCAAAGAGTCGAGACTATTAAATAAGTAAAGTATTTTCCAAATGCACAAAAATAATGAAGCTAAATCCTATAAAAGAGAGGAAAAAATGTTGAATTTTAAGAAATTCGGATTTTTGAATTTTTGATAATTTTCGATAGTTTCACATTTTTTACCAAAGAGTCGAGACAATTTAATAAGTAAAGTATTTTCCACATTAAAAAGTTTGACATTAAAAAATATATAAATAATGCCAATACTTAACCCACAAAATTAAATTTTCAAAACAAACAAATGAATGCAGATAATTTGCTAACGGAAAGGAAACTTACGATTATTATAATGTATGTATAATTGTATATGTATATTTCTGTTTTCTATCAAAACGTAAAAAAACAAAAGAATAACTATAACTAACTTCAAGTGTGGACAGAGATCCGGAAATCTGGAATCACGACGATTATTATATATAATTAATTAGGTATTTTTTTAGAAAATATTTTTCAAAATATAATTCTTCAAAATTACGATTATATTTCAAACAGAAACTTATTGCTATTTATTTTAATTAAAATTTTAAATAATTCCAATGTAAAACCTTTTGAAATTTAATTATTTCTAAAAATTACGACTGCAATTTTTCCAGAAGTCAATTATTTTTTTAGAATTTTTGAATAAAATTATTCAAAACTTTAAAAATAATATAATTCTTTTAAATGAAAATTTAAATACTTTAATACTTTTACGGCGACTAAAATATTAAAAAGATTTCAATTTAAAAACATTTGAAAACAGAATAATTTCTTAAAATTACTATTTTAACGCTTCTAATATTCAATTAAATTTCAAAATTCTAACTGAAATTCTTTTTTAAATCAATTGTTGCTAGAATTCAACAAAAATTGAATTATTTAAATACAACAATTTTTTTTTGTAAAACTAAATTATTCTCCAATTTATTTAGCTACAATTTGTCAAAAAATACAATATTTAAATATCATTTTTTATAGGAAGAAAATAAAATTCTTTGAAATATAAAATTTATTTTAATGAAATTTGAGAAAATTTCTCATTTTTTCAAGTTTTTAAAATTATTTTAGGAACCTCAACTATTTTTAAAAAATTTTAATTACGATTTTTTTAAACCACATTTTTTCAGAATTTGTAAATAACATTTTTCAAATTTTATTAATTTCTGTTTAATAAATATTTGAATACTTATTGTTATTTATTCGTCCAGTAAAATTTCAAAATACTTTCAATGTAACACCTTTTGAATTTGAATTTTTTTCGAAAAATTAGAACTGCAATTCTTCCAATTTTTGAAACATTTTCTAAAATTTTAACTGAAATTCTTTTTCAAATTAATTTTTATCAAAAAGTTGTACGAGAATTCAACTATTTAAATATAAAAGTAGTCGATAAAATAATTGATTATTTTTAAAAATATTGTAACTGTAACTCTTGGATTTTTTTAATTTGAAAAAGAAAATTTATAGACTATTTAAGATTTTGAATAACTTGATATTTTTTGAATACTTTGGATAAAATTTCCTTATTTCCCTCTCCTGTGAAAATCCTGTTATTGTAAAAATTCTAGGGGAATTAATTTTACTAAGACACTAATTATTCTATTTATAAATTAATTGTCAAACTTTTGACATGATCGGTTATTATTGTATTATTATAATTATATAATTAAATTTTAATTTTGAGTTATCTTTAAAACCTGAGTTAATTATATTTCAATTGCAGAAAATAATAAAAAGAATAGATTCGAGCAAGTGGTCTTTAATAAAAATATTTTTATTAAAAACCACTTGTTCGAATATATTCGTTTTATTATTTTCTACACTTTAAATATTAATTAAATAAAAATTGCAGTTGTAAAAGGAAAAATTATTCATTCAAACAATTTTGACAGTAGGTAAACTATCTTAAGGAGGTTTAATATCAAAACAATTTTAAATTGCTTTTAATTTGGTTTCTAAAGAATCGTCAAAGATATTAAAAATCTTTTTTTTAATTAAAAATTATTTCTTATTCTCTCCAAAAAAAGGAGAATTCAAAATTGTGAAATTCAACCTCCTTAATTAAACAGTTGAAATTAATAACAGAAATATAAAATATAAATATACGTAAAATAACAAAATGAAAAGATAAATAAGACACAAGCAAAATAAAGAAATAATTTTAAAATTAAATGAAAATTGTGATAAAATAAAATTTGTTATATTAAAGTTAGTGAGTGAAAAAAAGAAATGCAAACTACAGAAAGAAGTAAAGAAATTAAAAATAAGAAAATAGAAAAGAACTTTCCTTCAAAAAGGACACAATTCATATTTCATGGAAGACTTTATTAAAAAAGTAAATATATATATTTATATTTCATTTTGATATAACGACGTATTTCGTAAAAAATTAACAAAAAAAAAATCGATTCTACCTTTTTTTAGCTCATTTAACGATGAAGACACACTGTCACAGACTTCTTGGTTCGTTTAAAGAGTCCTGAATGGAAATCCTGGATATCCTTTATTTTTTTTTCATTATCACAGCCAGTCATGTGGCATTGGAAAGAGCTCATTTTCAAAACGATGCGGCCAACATCTCACAATCTCATTGTCATCCTAAACAAAAATTAACGATGTAGAACACATACATTTCGCACAAAAAAAAAATTATAAAAGAATCAAAAAGTAAAAAAAAAGGAACTTTCTACTACAAAGAAAAAAAAACAAGAACTCCTTGGCAGGATTTTTTTTTATTATTAACAAGAATTTTGTTAACTAACAAAAAATTTTTTTTTATTTCTGTCCATAATTCTGCCTAAGAGTTTTCTTTTCTTTAAATATATAAAAATTCAAACGGGAATCTTGAAATCTAACTACTTGTGTACCTAAAATTGAATATTTCCTTTTATTTATTTATAAAATCCTTTTATTTACTTTTTTTTAAACTATTGAGGCTAATTTTCGTCTTTTTTCCTTTATAAGGATTTTATCAGTTTTTTTTCTCATTTTCGTGCTTATACACAGAAACAAAATTTTAAGTTTCGTATCGAATTGTATTTTTTTTACCTATTTTTTCATTTCATATCCTGTAAATCGAATAAGGTTTTTTTTCGATTCTCTTTTTTATTTGCAAATAAAATGTGCCGCATTACTTTGTTCTTGAAAAAATTGTCATTTCATGAATATCCTTTATTTTTTTTATTTATATCTTTATTCTCTTAATTGAAATTATTTCAGCGATCGCATTTGCTGATTATTGATAAAAATTTGAAAAAACGCACATTTTTTTTTAGTTTTTATTGGAAGGTAATACAAGAAAAATTTGCGAGACGCGCTTATTTAAAATTTCGCATTTTTTTTTATTTTTTTGGTAAAATCTGTACAAAGAAAGAGCGGATAGATATTCATTGTTTACTCACCTTGAGTTTCATCTGAGGTTTACTCGAGCTTTTATTTCGGTAATAAGGGTACAAATCTACCATCTTATCCTTTTTATTTATTTTGTTTGTTTGTTTTTTGTTTTTTTTTGCTTTTTTGTAAATAAATCTCAAATCATATTTTGCTGCGGTTGTCATTTGGATGTGATTTTCTTTATAAAATCTCTGGTTTTTTTTTTAATTAGGAAAAAATAAACATTGTCTATCAAAAGGACAATGATATTAAAGTGATTTACCTGTGACAATCACTGTCGAAATTAAAAGTTAGTGCCGAAAATTTTATTTATTTAATATTTGAAAAAACAGAAAATATTTTTTAATTAAAACAGTAAATATTTTTTTTATTATATTTAAAACTTTATTGCATTTTCAAGGTGGTCACAAGTTTCAGTTTATCAATGTCCCTGACAAAATTCTTTTTACATGAAAATATGAAAGCTTACGGAAAATGATTATTAAAATTATGAATTTTAATAATTTCTAAAAATTACAATTATAACTCTACCTGAATTGAATTATTTTCTACAATTTTGAACTAAACTTCATCTTTGAATCAATTATTTAAAATAATTTTCCGAAAATTCTTCTATAGAATAATTCAATTATTTAAATAAAAAATTCAATTATTTTCGAAAAATTACATTAAAATATTATTAAAAACTAATTCTTAGAATTCTTTTATCATAATTTTTTAGATTCAATTATCAAGTTATTTTTATTTCCAAAAAATTATAATAAAGAAATTCTTACAATTAATTTTTTAAAAATATTTTTGAAAGAAAAATGTTTTTCAATTATATCCTAGGTAGGAATTTCCAAACAATTGGAATTTTAATAAAATCTTTTAAAAATAATTGAATTTTTGAAAAATATAAATAAAAATAATCAAATTTTTGAAGAATTTGAATTATTAATATGATCATGGTTTCTCCAAAAATTTTAATAAATCTAAAAAAGTAAATTTTTATCTACACTGTTCGAAGATAATTATTGAATCTAAAAAATTATGATAAAAGAATTCTAAGATTAGTGTTTAAAAATAATTTTTAAACACGGGCATTTATTGCCCGTGTATTATTATAAATAAATAAATGTAATTTTTCGAAAATAATTGAATTTCTTAGAGGAATTTTTGTATAATTTAAAAAAACTAATTAATTTTTTGATGAGTTTTAATAAAAAATTTTTCTTTCTCCAAAATGTTAAAAATAATTCTAAAATATTATTTTTTGTATGTATTTGAGTTTTAGGAAATATGTAATTGAAAATATTGAGTTTTAAAAAATTAGAAGCCAATTTTTATTAATTTTAATTTTAAAATTTGCATTTAAAGATTTTTCATTAACATTTTTGATAATTAAAATTATTTTCAAAATTTGCAATTAAAATTCTTTAAAAATTGATTTTCAAAAATTTTAACAAAATACTAAAAAAAATTAATTGTTTTAAATTAAATTTTACAAAATTTCAATTATTCAAACCCTTTTTAATTGTATATTTCGAAAATTTAATTAGAAAAATGATTCAAAAATAATTTTTGAAGCATTTGTTTTTAGTTATTTTTCGCATTATAAAAATCGACATAAGTTGCATTTTATACTAAAAAATGTGGTATATTGTTGCAATATTTGCAAGAAAAGTAAAAAAAGTCGCATTTTTTGAAAATAAGTTAAAAAGTCTCAAATTTCTTAATTTCTCTAACAAAAATATTTTTTCCTGACTTCATTGACATGTGGCCACCCTGACTTTTGTAAAGAAACTATTTTAATAAAAATTTCGAAATTAAAAATCAATCGTCTTTCGGCAAAAACTGTTGCAAAACGTATTTTCTTAAAAGAAAAATAATCGAAAGTACTTTTTAAAAACATAAAATTGTTAAAAATTTACAGCTAAAAGAAATTTTGTGCTAAAATAAATTTAATCTTTGAAAATTAAATTAACTTTTTGTATCATTTTTTTTCTGAATTTAGCTATTAAGTTAGAATAAATTAGAATAAAAAATCGTTCATTAAAAATGTAAGAAAAATAATATTACTAAAGTAGCAAATTGCCTAAAATCTTTTTCTTTTTTCGCAAATAAAAGTGCGATTTTTCCCATTGTGCTGGTAAAGTTTTTCACATTCCTGAACAAATTCTCAGGTTGTTGCGCGCTCATTGCCTGTGGAATAAACTTGTTTTTTTCAAAATTTCTATTTTAAAAAATACCACTCAAAATTTGTCACATAAAAACCAAAGCTTTTTTTTTTTTAAATGAATTATTGAAACTAAATGTTTATATTATATAATTATTTAAAAAAAGAAGATATATACGAAAAAAACAACTATATAGAAACAACGATAATTATATCGGCACAAATTTATACGAAATCTTTTTTTTATACCTACGTTCCCCATTTTGTTTATTCGAGTTTAGAAAAGCTTACGTCTCATTATTATTGATGCCCATTGCGCCGATTTTCCCTAGAGCAGTTGCTGGTTTACCTAGTCATTAAATATATCTTGTGCAGGTGATAAGATTAAAAAAATGAATTTCATCTTGATTTACCATTTTTTTTTCTCTATTGCATACAACATTATCGCTACACATACGTTTTAAGCGGGGCTTAATAAATAACATTTTTTTATTTTGTTTTGTATACTAGAAAAAGAAAGAGTTAATCGACCGTCTTTCTTTTTCTCCTATAAAAAAACTGAATACGTTTTTTTTGCCTATAATTAGAAAATTTTCACACTGAGGAAAGGAAAAAAAAATTTTTTTCTTATCAAATTAAATTTTTTGACGTGTTTTCTTTATCTATCATAGCAATAATTAAAAATGGTATTAATAATAGTAGTAATATAATGTAATTTGTGATATTTTAATACTATTTAATGAGTCTGTCGATACAATATGCTCATTTTGAAAACGCTTCTGAATAACATTATTTCAGAAACAAAAAAAAACGCTACATTATTCTCCTTTTGAAAATCAAAATACAAAGTTGATTCCATTCTACTTTTTTTGTTTTTCAAGAACGCAGCATTAAATCACTGAAATTAGTTCATCAAATTTTTCATTTTTCAGTTCGAAATGCTTAAAAATAATGAAAAATAGTTTTTTTTAAAAAAAATCTGTTTTAAAAAATGATTCGTAAATCCTACACGTAGTATACAGTCGACTGATTAATTAAATGACAATTATGCGGGAATTATAAAAATTCTTAATTTTTTTTTCTCTCTCTCTCTCGCTCTCTCTCACACGCTCTCACAATGAAAAAATCTTGATTCTACAGACAGATACAAATTGTTTATAATTAAAAAATAATATTACAATGACTTGTAAGATTTGTCCCTAAAGAAATGTTCTACTCATGAGAGATGAAATATTTGCAAATTAACTTAAATCTTGGAAAACAAAAAATAAAAAAAAACTGAAACATAATTTCCACTTAAAGTCAAATGTAAAACCTCTCATTTATTTCTAAATTCTCATTGTACTTGACAAAAGAAATTTTTTGTGTGCACAATGATTTTTTTTTCTTATTCGGAATTAAAAATTACGCTAGGATTGCTAAGTTATTTGTTTTTTTTTCTTTTAATATATTTTGTATGAAGGAAATCAGATCACATTGGAAAAATAAAAATTATAAGGTAAAGTAAAAAAAAAAGAAAGAAGAAAAAAAAGAAAAAAAAAAGATTCACCCAAACATTCCTTAATGTACAAATTTAATTTTCTCATCCACTTATTTTTCTTTTTGATCGATTATTAAAATGGGAGAATTTTTTTTTATTAATTAACTAGTAAATATTTTGTGTTTTGTTTCTTTTCCTTTCATTTTTTTTTTTTAATTAAAATTTTTTTGTTTTTTTTTTGTTTTATATTTTGAAAGCTTCGCTGAAACTGGGCGTTTTGGTAACCAGCACTGCCACCTGCGAACAACCACAGCTCTCCTCCATTCAATTTAACTCGTACATTATTCTTTTTTCTGTACATAACATTTTGTTAAGCAGATACTTGTTATATCTGTTTATTATGCGCTTGGATATCCAGAGTAATAGTTTGAATCTGTAAATGTCAAATCAGGAATGGCTAATTTCACCTACTTTTTTTTAAATTATTGTTTTTTTTGTGCATTCTTGTTTTAAAACTCAGGTAAGCCTGCGTTTTTAAAATTCAGGATCACACGAGACTAGCATTCAATTATTAAAAGTCAATTAAATTTTTTAAGAAAAATTCTCTCTCAAAATTTCATTGAGAGAAATTATTAATACCTACTTATTTTTTTGAGAATAAATTTTGCGGGAATTTTGGATGGATGTTTGCTTTTTTTATTTTCTCTCTTTTGAAATTTAATTATTCAAAAAAGATAATTACTATTTAATTATTCAAATTTTGGTTAATTAGTTTTTGTTACCTAGAGAACTCTTGTGATTTTGCGTAATTCGATCAAGATTCTCTTAGTTTTTTTTTCATGAATATTTATCTAATTCTAAAAAGCACAGGACGTTAATTTGATTTTATCGGAAAAATGCATCTCTGTGCTCAATATTGCATTTTTCTTCTAATTTTCTTATTTATTTATTTTTTTGGTCAAATGGGATTTGAAGTTCGCATTTAATTTTTTATTCAAAATTTATGTTTTGTACTTACCATAACCCTGCTTTCCATACGTGCTATCTTGTGTTGTATAATCTGGAAATTTGGAAAATCTTCATTAGCTCTGTTCATTTTAAGCGGGATTTGTTTTGAATACAAATTTAATTATTTTTAAAAGAAATTATAAATTGAATATAAAGTTCAAAAATTATTTCTAAATAACAAAATTCATTTCTTCTATTATTAAATTAAATTAAAATAATACTTATTATATTAAATAAAAAATACTTATTGCATTGCAAGCTTCGCACTCAATAATTACAATTTTAAAAATGTAGCAAAAATTAGTTTGATTCTCTATTTCCTGATTTCCATAAAAAATATTTAGGGGAACATAGTCTAGGTCGGCCACCTTTTTGACTTTTGTTTATAACTTTTTTTAAAAAATGAATTTGGACAATTGAAGTATATGGTTGGAAAGTCCTGTTTAATAGGAACATTTTTTCTGTACAAAGTAAATTGACAGGTTTAAAAATGAAAAAGTTATAAAGATTTAAAAAAAAAAAAATTTGTAGTCCAGGTTGGCCATTACAGTCAAGGTCGGCCATGTTTAAAATTCAAAGGGCATTAATCGTTAAAAAATAAAATAACATGTTTGGAGTTACGGAAAATTGATTCTTTATTGTTTACAGTTTGTAACTTAATGAAATAACAAAATAATAACAATAAACAATATAAAAAAATAAATATAAATAAAAAAAAGTTTTGCACTAAAATATTAATAAAATTAAATAAAAATATTAATAAGATGATCAATTATATTATGAGTTATACAGAATTGCAGTTTTTGCAAATGAAGTAGCTCGTCCTCAACTTTGCGCATTTTAAACACATAGTGGCCGACCTTGACAGTAAGTAACATTACCGAATTGTTGTAACCATAAAGAAATACGTTTCGGGATTCGATTTTTTACTTTGTTTTCCTTTCAACCATGAGTCCCACAAATTTTCTGCATACTTGCCTTGACGATTCAATTTGTTTTTTATCTTTTATTAATGGTTTTTCACATTATGCACAAAACTTTTTTTGAGCTTTTTTTGTACCGACGTCACAGAAAACACAATTTTCGATTTTCCGAAAATGTAATTGAACAGAAAGTTAGGTTTCACTAAGACAAGCTTCGACAAAAATGCGCGTAGGTGGCGCTAGTGAACTTGACATAAAAACGCGAGTGGCCTACCTAGACAGTAGGCCAACCTTGACTACATTCCCCTACATTTTTCTTATCCTGATAATAACTTCAATTCTAAACTTTTTATGAAATTCAATTATTTTCCAAACTTTTAGTTAGCATTCTACAAAAATTCGATCATATTTAAAAATAATTTCTAAAAAAATTAATTAATTGGAAATTTAAATAAATATTTTAAATTTTTACGAGAATTCAACTATATTCCAGAAATTTTATTTTAATTAAAGTTTTTCAAAAGACTAATTTTTTTTCATAATTTCTAAATTAAATTATTCATACTTGAATAATTTTTGTTCAATAAATATATAAATATTAATTTATTCATTTTTCCACAGAATTTAGAATTTTTAATAATTTTAATGTAAAAACGTTTTGAAATTTAACTATTTATAAAACTTCTAAAAAAAATATAATGCATTTAATATTAAATTATAATTTAAAATTTTTATTGAAATTAATTTTTAAATCAATTCTTAGTAAAAGTTCTACAAGAATTCAATTATTTAAATACAAAAATAAATAATTGATGAAAAAATTAATTATTTCTTAAAATTGAATAATTATAAAGAATTTTATCAAAATTTTTGAAAATAATTGAATTATTTCGAAGAATTTTAATAAATCTTTTGAAAATAATTACATTTTTCAAGGAATTGATTTAAAATTGTATTAAAATTAATTGAATTTTAGTGTTTGATAAAAATCCATTATTTTCATTATTTAAAATATTTTATTTATGAGCTAAATTTATTTAAAATAAAATATTTTAAATAATAAAAATAATGGATTTTTATCAAACACTATAATATCACATTAAAATTATAAATCCAAACAAAATAATATCACAATGTTAATTGAATTTCTATGAATTTTTTTATATTTTAAATAATTGAATTCTTTTGAGAGATTTTAGTAAAATAGTATAGATATATTGAAAATAATTGAATGTCAGCAAATTATTTCATTATTTTTGAAAATAATTGAATTCTTGCGAAAGATTTTTGGAAAAAATTTTGAAAAAATTGAATTTTTTCAAAGAATTTTATAAACATTTTTTTAATTGTTTCTAAGGAAAATTTTATTAAAATTTTTAAGAATAATTTTTTTATTTTAACTGCTAGCAGATGTAAAGTAGTGCAAATTAAAAAAAATAAAAGAAAATAAATAAGTATCTTTTACTTTTTTTAAATATGTGAATATTTAAAAAAAGTATCCAAATAGTAGCTAATCGTAAAAAAAAGTAGTAAATAGTAGGTTTTAGTAGATGAGTGCGAAGCCTGGTATTGAATATATAATACTTATTATATTAAATAAAAAAATATTTTCAATAGCAAACGAAAAGAATTTTTTTTGTTTTATTTCAGAAAAACGAAAAATGATGAATTTGCTCTAAAATTTTTGAGAATACCGAAAGTTTTTGAGATTAATGATCAAAAGAGGATCTCTCACCTGCGACAGCTGGTTTACCATAACCATAGGGATCGGCACTATATCCGGCGGACGCAACAGCTGGAGCTCCTCCATATCGTGGATCTGGTGCAGCAGCCGCGTATCCCTATTTATAATTTATGATTTTATTATTAAATTCCATAGATAAACACAAGTTACGACTTTCTGGTTTAGTTGGAAATCATACAAATTTTTAAGGATTTTTAAAAAATCCTCCGTTTTGTCTTCAAAGGGCAAAAATTTATTGTTACGCAAAGAAAATAATCTTGATTTTTACAGGAAAATTTATTATATTACACACTTATAAATTTTAATACTCCTAATTTTTTTTAAATAAAACTAAAAAGAAAAACTAAGAAAAGTAAAGTGGTATATTCTGAAACTATGTACATATTACATTTTTTTCAAACTTTTCATAAATATAACATTTTACGAATAATTAATCCTAGAGGTATTTTGTGAAAAAAGACCATTTTACATACCTTTTGCAATCTCTTTTTATGAATTTCTGACGATTTCCTCTAGTTTTTAATTTTTGTTCACTAATCTGTGAGATATTATTTTAAATCAGAAAAAAATATTAGTCATTACAGGACTTTGAAAAATTTTAAATTAAGTCACTTGTAGGAATTTAAAATCTTATTTGACAAATTTTTCTCATTTTAATATTTTTAAATGAACAAATTATAATTCAAATTTCTGGTACATAAAATAGAAAAATAAATTTGCATAAAATCCAATTGAATTATTGTTGATTTTGTTACAATTTTTATTTCTTGTCCGATTTGTAAAAATATTTACTTTTAGTCAAATTAAAAAAACACTAATTTTTTGTTGAAAAAATTATACATAGAAAACTAAATTTTCCCCTTGATTTTTTTCAAAATATGCTTCAATATTTAAAAATCTTTGAGTTCTGCATATATTCTGATGAGAATATTCGATAAATAAATTGATAAGATTCTCATTGTGAACTAATTATTAAAAATTATAAAACATAAAATGAAAAGAAATAAATCAAATTTTATAAATAAATAGTAAATTCAATTAAATATTAACTTTACTCTAAATAAAGTTAATAAAAAGAAGAAAATTAAATCCATCGACTATAATAATGAAAATACATTTTTCTTTAAAATAAATATACCAAAAATGAAAAATTATCTCCTTGTAAATTTTCCTTTCGTTTTTTTTTTGGTTGAAAAACTTTCCTCACTTTTCTAAAATGAAAATTCTGAAATTACTCGAGACTTTGATACATCCGATTGTAAATTTATTACAATTTCTTTAAAAAACAAAATATAAATATATTAGAGGATGACAAAAATAACAGTTAAATATTCTTTTGAACAATAATATAATTTTATTTCGTCGTTTTCCTGCTTTTACTTTGTTTTCAGGGTATTTTTTCTATGAATTAAATAGTCTTGATGGAGTAAATATTACAAATGATGTAACATTACTTTTAAAATATCGACGGCTTAGAGTGCAAACCTGCTAACTCCACATTTTATCAAATTTGAGATTCTTTTTGTATTTTATAGATAAAGAGGTGATACATCAGCCAAGTAAAACAGTTTGACGAAATTATGTCTCTAAATTGCTAAAAAAGTGTTGTGAGTAAAACAGCTAACTCCATACCTGTCAAATTGCACTGCTACATATTTTGAGTGTAAGAGATATCAATTAAAATATATTTCAAAAGGAAGTACTTATTATTATTAAGTAGCATTGTGTTGTTCTATTAATAAAACAAATATACTGAAAGTTTTGTTCTATAAGAATATAACCTAAAAATTCTTTTGAATAGTTTTTTGACTCTCCTGAAAAATTTCATAAATGTGAGTTATCAGGTTTGCACTCTAAACCGTCGATATGCAAATATTTAAACATGAGACCACATTATTAGTATTAAATTTAATACGGTCTCAAAATACATGTCTTGCGATTAAAAAATTTCATATCAACACGTACACTTTTAGAATGCAATACAAACTCTTAATTTTTTAAGTTGTTCTTTGTTTTACATTATATTCTATTCACATGAAGTGAAATTTTCAATAAAAATTAGTCAACTTTTCATCGCATATTCAGTGGCAAAAAGTTTTTTTAAAAAAGAATTTTTTTTCCTCTGTATCCTCAAATATTTAAATTTGAATTTATAAACAAAATTATTGTATTTTTAAATTAATTAATTAATCATTTGGTCATTGTCTATTTTATGTAAACTAATAAAGTAATCTCATTGTTTCTTGAGTAACTAAATATAAATCATAGTTCTATTAGCTTTTTTTTAATGCTACTTTAAGCTAATTTAGAAAGTAATCATTCTATTCTCTATAGAAACGAATTTGTCTAATTTCTCCCACATTATTGTTTAAGTGATGTTATTAACTATACGTAATACTTTTCATTCCGTTAATAAAAGCGGTTAAAGCATTGCAAAAATATGTCTAAATATGTAGATATTGATCGTACAGATCAAAATAAAGAAAAATAAAAACTAAATAATAAGAAGACCTTAAGTAAAAGAAAATTAAACTGAATCATGATCCTAATTTGACTTTAATACTTTCGTAATTATATAATTTTCATGGAAGTATAAATGTCTTTTTCTATAAGTTATGTCTTGTCCTTTTTTTAAATATCTATATTTACAAAAAGCTTATTTTTTCATTTCGTCGTTGTGCATTGATAATTTAATGCTTTAAAAAACAAGTGATGGATCATTAAGGAAGACTTGAAGTATTTACTTTTAATAGGTCTTACCATAAAAATTCAAACGTTAAATATAAATAAATTATTACCATTTTGAAATGTAAGTAAAATTCGATTCTTGTATGTAAAAAAGAAAAATACATTTTGCATGTAAATAATTAAATGGCATAAATGATTCTTCCTATTACTAAATGGAAGATACATCTAGAAGTGTTTCCTTTTTTTTTAAATATTGTATATGTGAAATTATTTTAAGAAAAATTGATTTCTTAAAATTGTGAAAACTTTTCTTTTCTTTCTTTAAAGAAGAAAGTGTTAAATTTTTGCGCTAGGTTTCCGATGATTACTAACCAATGTCGTAACTTGAAACAAATCAATATTGTTGACTGCTATTAAAAGAATAACTTACTGCAGACTGCCCATAATCTGCTGGCTGTTGATAACTTTCGTAACCTTGATAAGATTGGGGATACCCTGGCTGAGCTCCATAACCGGCACCATAACCTGCCGCCTGCGGCGGTCCTTGTGCAGCTCCTCCATATCCGTTACCTGAACTTGCTCCATATCCTTGACTAAATTGGGGAAAAATCGAAAAATATTTTCTGAGCACCAATGATATTGTAAATTCGTCTCATTATTTACTAATTAATCAATTGTATACTTTATAAGTTTATATAAATCATAATCATTAATTGTTTACATATCCAAACTTTATACCGAAATAAATTTATTTCTATTAGTAATGAAAATTTGAAATTCCAGAATATTTCCTTCATCTAAATCATATTCGTAGTGTGGTATTTTTTTAAATTAATAGTTAGAAATAAAATCAACAATTTTTTTGAATTTTAATTTTCTTTAACTAAATTAATTGATTAATTAAACAACAGGGAGATCCAGGACAGATTCTTTATTTTATATTATGAAAAAACAATTATTAAACATAATAAACAATTATTTTATATTATGATTAGCATAATTTTAATTAATCTACTTCAACAAAAATATTCATTTTATCATATCAAGGTTTAAAATCTATATTGTAGATACCTATTTCTTTAATCAAATAACAAATTTTTATTTTTTGATAGATCAACAAAATTATTTTTTTAAGTTTAAGTAAAATTTTTTAATTATTGAATAGTTTAAAGTAAAATATGGAAAATTCAAGGACAAAAGTTGAAAATCCAGGACTTCCAGAACCAGTAGACACATTTATTGCCAATTAATTGTTATTGTGAAGGGTATTTACGAAGTACTATTATTAAAAATATTGTATTTTTGATAAAAATAATTTTTTTTTAATGTTAAAAAATAAAATAAAAAGATATTTATTAAATACTATTATTCTTGAAATTATTGTCATTGTTAAAGTTATTTTTTCTACCAAAACACTTGCTAACTTCCATAATTTAATTTCTTTGTAAAAGAATAAATTAAGATCATAAAATTTATTCAATTACAAAGTTCAAGGAACTTCAATTTTTAGGTAATAAAAAAATTACTGAAGAAACTTAGAAAAAAGAAAAAAATAAATATAAAACTAATTGTACTTAATGAAATAAAAATTTAAATAAACGAAAAATTGAAATATTTAATTAAATATTCAATTATATGGGTGAGAAAAAATCATTCTATCCGAGCCAAATCAAAAGAAAAATCACTTCTTTTTAACATTTCGACGATAACAATCGTCCTCATAATTTTCGACCGAGTGATAAATTCTACTTTATAAATAAATATTCAGTTATTTCATTATTATTTAAATATGATTAATTTACCTGAAAACAAAATTTAAATCGAAACATAATTGAAACTATTTACTTTACACACTATAAAATTATGTTTGGTTTTACTTTAAAAAATATTTTATAATTATAAAATACTGTAAATTATTATTAAACTTGTAGATTTACTTATGTAAAAAATAGAATTTTTCTATAATTTAGAAAAAAAGGATAATTATCATTAAAAAAATAAAAATAAAAACAACAATAATAATAAAATAATTTTAATTACCTAATTGGGGCGGATGTGTAGCCATTGGCAGATTGACCACTCTGATTTTCAAATCTCGGCCTCTTTGGTGGTCCGCTGGCTCCAGGTGGTCCTCCGCCTCGTTTTGAGGGTCCACCTCGTCCTCCCCTGCCGCGATCGCCAAAGCCACCACGGCCTCCTGGACCTCCTCTACCTCCAGGTCCACCTCTGTGAATAAAAATCAACAATAATTTCAGTTTCTTTCCAAATTCTTCCAACCAATACCTCAAAATATTTATACAATTGTAAATATTTTACTTCCCAACCATAAAGAAAATTATATATCCTTTTTCTTTACCTGGAACCACCTCGACCGCGGTCCATTCCTCCACGACCTCTGAAGCCACCTCCACGGCTATCTCCTCTACCGAAGCCGCCACCTCGTCCTCGGAAACTACCACCTGCACCACCTCTTCCTCTGGGTGCTCCTCCCATGGGTCCCGAAGGAGCGCCTCCCGGTCCTCCTGCCTGATCGGGTCCTCTGAAAAATTAAATCCCATATTATTTTCAATTCAAATAATTTTAAAAATTACTCCAAATCAAATTGTTTTTAAAGTAAAAAAAAAGAATTTAAAATTACAAAAGTAATTGTTTCAAAATTCAATCATTTCTTTTATTGTAAAATTATTCAAATTTTAATTAATCATTTTATTTTATTTAATTCTTATTAGAAAATTCTACAAGAATGAAATTATTTAAATACAAAAATAAATAATTTATTGAATAATTGAATATTTCATTAAATTTTAATTCTTATAAATACACTCTATCTATGAAACAAATTATATCAAATTTTTCTAAATAATTGAATTTTTTCGAAGAATTTTATTAAAATATTTAAGTATAATTGCATTTTTAGAGGAATTAATTTAAAATTATTATAAAAATAATTGAATTTCTTTTAAAATTGTATATTACTTATGAAAATAATTGAATTCTTGCAAAGAAATATTTTGTAAAATATTTCAAAAATAATTGAATTCCTAAGAAAAATATTTATTATTCATAAAAATAAATAAATTCTTGCGAAGAATTTTTTAAAAATCTATTTAAATAATTGAATTCCTGTGAAAATTCAACTATTAACAAATTTAAAGTAGTGTTAATTCTCAAACATGAAAAAAATAGCCTTTAGTGTAACAAATAAAAAAAAAGTATCCAAATAGTAAAAAAATAGTAGGTTTTAGTAGATGAGTGCGAGGCCTTTAAACTAAGTTTAAATAATTTAGTCATTTTGAAGTCGAAGCGATTTTTCCATTAAATTTTTGCGTAAAAATAACATCGGCTTTGACATCCCTTTAATTTTCAAAGAATTTAGAAGAAAAATTATTGACAATAAATAGAAATAAATAATTATTAATAGGTATAAAAATGATTTCTTGTTAATTATCAATTGCTTTGTTTTTTAATTAAATAATAATTTATACCCAGGTGGAAAGTGACCGCCTCTGCCACCCCTGCCTCGCATTCCAGGTGGTCCACCTCTCATTCCTCCTGGTCCTCCACGACCTCCTCGCATCATTCCACCTCTGAAAAAACAATACAAAATTTACCAAACTATTCAATTCAGCTTTACGAGAAAATTGTTTTCAAATGTCAGACAAAAATATTTAAACTAGTTCATCGATTTTATCCGATAAACCTATACGAGTTATAAATAATAAATTTAAAAAGTATTACAAGCTCACAAGATCAATAGCAAATTATAAATATATAGCAGAATTTACACTTAGAAACTTGAAAGGTTTTAGTGAGTAAATAAACAAATCTAATCACAAAATTTCTAAATAAAAAAATATTTTCACTACTTCTAAATGTCTATTTTTAATCGGCAGAAGACTTATTTTTGTGGAAAAAAAAGACGAACCTTCCTCTTTCCCCGAAGCCGCCGCGTCCTCTCATAGGTCCACCAGGTCCTCCTCGACCGCGAAAACCACCACCACCTCTGGGAGCTGGTGCACTATCCATTGTTGGCTTTTCTAAAAAATTCCGAAAGTCCTTTTTTTAAAAAAAGAGACTATTCAAAAATCTATATACGTTTTCTCACAGTCAAAAAACGATTACTGTTGTAAGAAATCAAACACACCAAAAATCACGACAAAAACGAGAAAACGCACAATAATTTAACGTAGATTGTGTTCACTGTTTACTTCGAATTATCTAACATAGTTAGATAAATCAATTTTATGTAAAATTTACTTACGCTTTATTTAAATATTAAATAATTTATAGACGCTTAAACTTTTGCGTCTGACGAATTGATGCCAACAGAAAATGGACGCCGGTTGCCGGAAAAGGAAATATCGATCTGCGAGGCTACCTGCCTAAACCGGAAATCCCCCACATAAGATAATTTTCCACCAATCAAAAAATTATTTACTCCATTTCATCTAGAGTGAAAAGAAAGCGTCGAATCACATTCACGTATCAATAGAATCGACCAATGAGAAACTTATAATCTGAAAAATTATCGTTGTGTGATAGCGCTCTCAAGAATCGTTATCTTGTGTGAATTTTGTTTCATTTATTGCATTTATTTAATTTAAAAATTTCCAAATTAAAGCAAAATTTTAATTATTTCTGTTAAATTTACTTTATTTTCCTGCAAACAACAAATTGTATTTAAATGGTATTTATTAATTTTGTTGATTTTACCAATTGGACCAAGGCGATGGAATGACAGTGTCAACATAACCTCACTTTTATTATAAATCCAAACACTGGAGTTTATTCATTTTTGCAGTATTTTAAAATACATAGCAGTTTAATCAAATTGATGAGAGTGAAAATTTTAATGTACTTTATAATTTTAATGACTAATTACTAAAAGTTTCAAAATTATTTATCATTTTTTTAATGCGATATTTTAATATTCCCGCACTTTTTACTAGCAGACGCTCGTTTCAGAGCGCCGTCTTGCGTTAAAATTTGAAGACTTTACAATAGTCACGTGACGAGCAACTTGCCTCCGATTGGTTAACGGCTTGAATTCGAACAGTGAAGTCCGTTGCTTTACACGGTTTCTCAAAACAGTGCTTTTAAACAGTTATCTGAAAGGGCTGCTCAACTCCTTTAGCCTTGTAAAGTAACTACAAAAAGTTGTGATTATTGAGTGAATTGTGGAGTTCGGACTCATTTAAAGTGATCTTTACATCGATAGCAATTAACAATGTCAAAAGATGAAAAGGAGTCGATCATCCCAGATATTATTTACGACGTGAATGCTCAAAGAAGCTACATTAAAGGCCGGTTCTTCGGAAAGGTACCCTATTATCTCTATTTATTTCAATCGTCAATATTTACTTTCCTGATATTCTTTCCTCATATTTTGTATTTATTATTTTCTATATCCTACTCATGAAACTTAAACGAAAGGTCTTAAATTTCATTGAGCAAATTTTGTTGAAAGTCATTAACCTGCATTGACTCCTCATGTATCAAACCTCCACCATGTCGACCGTATAGACGCGATCCCTCCTAAAATTTCACATATTCATTGCCTCACCTTTTTTGCTTCCTGTTCCAAGTCCCATAACTTGATATACTCGTTTCATGATTCCAAAACAAAATTTCTCACTTTGACAGATTTCATAACAAAACTTGTTATTTTTATTGAAAATTATTATTGTTTTTCCGGCCAAAGAACGTTATCGTTATTATTTTTTTTAATAATTTTGAAATATTTTCAACGATGCTATTCGAAAGTAAATTTTGATATAACCTATATTGTAATAATATTGCATTCGTTTTAATTAACCTTAATTTATTGAAAATGTATTTTCATTTCTATTTGACATTTTTTTTCTCTCGAGTTCTAAACTTTTGACTAGTAAAAAAAGTTCTCTAAAAAATTATGAATTATCGCACAATTTTATGTAATTGTTTGCAAAAATAATTTACGTAAATTTTCCTTCAATTAATGAACATTTAATTTAGACTTTAATCACTTTAATGATATATTTTCAGGGTGGCTTTGCAAAATGTTACGAAATTCGAGAGTCAAAATCTCACAATGTGTACGCCGGAAAGATCGTACCAAAATCATTAATGACAAAAAATAACCAGAGAGAAAAGATGACACAGGAAATTGCTATTCATCAGAGTTTAAATCATAAAAATGTCGTTGGTTTTCATGGATTTTTCGACGACTCACATAATATTTATATAATTCTAGAGTTATGCCGTAAAAGGGTAAACAAAATATTTTCTTTCTTTATTTTTCTGTTTTTTTTTCTTTTTGTCTAGGAGAAAATTGTATATATTTATTTTGTGTAAATTATTTCAGTCAATGATGGAATTGCATAAGAGAAGGAAAGCTTTAACTGAATATGAAACACGATTTTACATGAAACAAATTTTGGAAGGTGTACATTATTTGCATCAAAATAGAATTATTCACAGGGACTTGAAACTCGGCAATCTCTTTTTAAATGATGAATTGCAAGTGAAAATTGGTGACTTTGGTTTAGCGACTAAACTTGAACATGAAGGCGAAAGGAAAAAGTAAATAATTTCAGAATTGATTTTATTTAAGAATTAAGATTTCATTAACAGGCCTTTGATATTATGCGACAATTTTATTTTGACAATTTTCAAAGAATGAGACTTTTTTTGACTTATTTTCGAAAATTGTGACTTTCGACTTTTCCTCCAAATATTGCAAAAAAATACCACATTTTTGGTATAAAATGCAAATTATTTCGATTTTTATAGTGTCAAAAATAACTATAGACAAATCTTTCAAAAATTATTTTTGAATAATTTTTCTAATTAAATTTTTGAAATATACAATTAAAAAGATTTTAAATAATTGAAATTTTGTAAAATTTAATTGAAAATAATTGTTTTTTTTAAGTATTTTATTACAATTTTTGAAAATAAAATTTTGAAGAAGTTTTGCAATTTTAATTGAAAAATTTTGAAAATAATTGAATTCTCAAAAATTTTAATGAAAAATCTTGAAGTATAAATTTCACCATGAAAAATAATATAAATTAACTTCTAAAAATTATATTAAAATATTTTTGAAAAACAATTCTTAGAATTTTTTCATTGTCATTTTTTTAAATTCAATTAATTTCAATATTTTCGAAAACTCAAATAAATTTTTTTGAACTTTTTTTGAACTTAGAATTCTTTTATCATAAATTTTTAAGATTCAATTCTCTTCGAACAAAGTAAATTAAAATTTTTATTAAAGATTTACTTTTCTAGACTTATTAAAACTTTTTTCAAAAATTTAATTATTTTTAAAAGATTTATAGAAAAATTTTAGTAAAAAACGCAAAAAAATTGAATTTTGAAGAAGTTACGAATGATTACAGAAATTCAATTTTCAAAAGTAATAAAATTCTTTACAGAAATTCAATTATATTAAAAAATTTTAACGTAATTCTACGCAAGCATTCAATTATTTTCATAAATAACAGAAATTTTACAGGAATTTTATTATTTACAAATTTTTTATAAATTTCTTCGCAATAATTTAATTATTTTCATAAATAATAAAACTCATCGCAGAATTTCAATTATTTTTAATACAATTTTAATCGAATTCCTCAAAAAAAGTAATTATTCTTAAAAATATTATTAGAATTCGTCAAAAGAATTCAATTATTTTAAAATGTGTTGATGAAATTCTTTATGAGAATTAAATTTTAAGAAATATTTAATTATTTAATAAATTATTTATGTTTGTATTTAAATAATTGAATTCTATTTAGAATTTTCTGTTAAAAATTGATTTAAAAATGAATTTCAGTTAAAATTCTAGATAATAATTGAATATTAAAATCATTATTGCACGAATTTTTATAAATAATTTAATTTGTGGAAAAGGTTTCATATTAAAATCTATGAAAATTTTAATTTTTAATATTTTTAACTAACAATTCTGTAGAATTAATTTTTGTGAAAAAGTATAATTGGACTATTTTAAAAATTATTAAGAATAATTTATTTATATAAGAATTTTAGTTAAAAATTTTAGAAAATAATAATTTAATTGAAATAAAGATAATATTTTTGAAGAAGTAGCAGTAACAATATTTTTATAATATTAAATAATGATTCTATTACTCGGTCATCTTTAATTATTATAAGTTATTGAATTTGAAAAGTTTGAATTTGAAATTTTTAAAAATCTTAATTCCTATGGAAAAATAATAATGATTAAATATTTAGGGCATTCTATTTCAAAGTGACTCACCTCATAAAAACAATTGTCATTGTAAGGCAATTTTTATATACATAGTTAAGGCAAAAATTCCTTTTTAAAAAAAAAAAAAACAATTGCTTTGCCTGTTTTGCTTTTGAACTTAGGGGCTGTCCATAAATTACGTAACACGTTTAGGGGGGGGGGTTCGAGAAAATGTTATCATATGTTACATGGGAGGGGGGGGGTCAATCATCATTGTTACGTAATATTTATAAGGAACTTAATCTCTTTATAATGGATAAATTTTTGAAAAGCTGTCCCTTGCCGCCACTTCAATATAAGTAAAAATCGAATCATTTCGCGAACCGATTCTTGGGAATAATATACAATTTTTATTGTTAAAAAATCAATGTTATATTTTTGGTTGTTCAGTATGATTAATAAAATTATTCCTCTAAATGTTTTTTATATTTAACTTAATTTTGTATTGCTATTGTACGATATAAATACTAAAAATAACAGTAATAAACAAATTTGTTTCGAAAAACGTTAGTAAAAAAATATTTTTAAAAATTACGTAACATTGATAAGGAGGGGGGGGGGTGTGTAAAACGATTTTGTTACAACTTGTTACATAGGGGGAGGGGGGGTTCAAAATTTCACTAAAAACGTGTTACGTAATTTATGGACGGTCCCTTAGGCAAAAATTGCCTGAGTAAAAATCACATTCTGCCTATTATTTTTTTCAGTGTGACAGAAAATTGTAATTTTTATTCAAATCTAACTTTCAATCGTTTTAAATGTTCAAAATTAAATTCTTCGCCTTTCCGCCAAAACGAATTTAAAATTTAATTTGTCTTTTTCTTTTAAATTACGAAATTTGACATTGGACTAACTTTTGTTTTGACTGTACGTCAGATTCTTCCTTAAAGCCACTAATAGTAAATAAAGTTTGGCTTCAATAAATAGGAGAAATATTTATTTAAAAATTGCCTTACAATGGCAATTGTTTATTAGGTGGGCCAAAATTTTGTCTGGAATTCAGAGAAAAAACAGGGAAAAACAAAATTAATTTTTTGTTGCAACTCTAATTAAGTCTTTAAATATTTATTTTACAAAATTATTGGAGTTTTGAATAATTGATCTTAGAAAGCAGTGAAAAGTCAGGGAAATAGAAAATAAAATTTTAGTGACAACAATGAATTAAATAAACGACATTTTTTTACTCCTTTTGTATTTTTAATCGACTAAAGCAACTTTTTATTCGCCTTAAAATCGATCCGAGGCCTACATTATTATTAAATAATTTAGGGACAATAATAATTTCTTATTTTCCTATTTAAAGGACATTATGCGGAACTCCTAACTACATTGCCCCCGAAATTTTGACCAAAGTTGGTCATTCTTTCGAAGTTGACATTTGGAGTATCGGTTGTATAATGTACACTCTGCTTGTGGGTAAACCACCATTCGAAACTTCTAGTTTAAAAGAAACTTACGCTAGAATTAAGCAAGTTCAATATAAAACGCCTTCGTCAGTCACCAAACCTGCGATGAATATGATATCGAGTATGTTACAAGGCAATCCATCGAAACGTCCCTGTGTTGGAAAATTGCTGAAAGATGAATTCTTCCAAAGTGGTAAGAGACTTTTTCTCTAAACAATTTAAAAAAAAATCGTTTATTATAAAATAATATTTCTTGTATTTATATATTTTTTCAAGTATTACGAATGAAGAAAAAAATAGTAATTTTATTATTTTTTCAGGATTTTTACCGCAGAGCCTTCCACTTTCATGTCTCACAATGGCACCGAGATTGGACGCATTGGAATTGCATAATAACCGAAAACCATTATCGGAAATGAATATGAATAATTATAATGCGGGTGAGGCTGAAGTTTTTAAAGTACCTGCTAGTCCTCAACGTAATAAAATTTTAAGTCCTGCAAATAAATTGAAAGCATCCGAAGTAAATTCAAATGATGTACAAAGAATAAATCAGGAGAATAAACGAATGCTTCAGGCCCTAAAAGAACAGCTTCATGGTGTTCTTAAATCGAAACCCGCACAAAAAATGGCATCTTCTGCAGGTATGCATTTTCTACAAATCATCATTGAACATTTGTTTCAAATATAATATTTAATAATAATCCTGATTCCAAAATTCCAATTCATTTTTCTCCAGATCCTCAGAGACCTTATCAAATTTTTCTGGATCACACAGGCATGAATTTTTCCTATTATATTTTCTTGAAAACAAAAATTAATATTTTTTTTTTTTTTAAAAAAGCATATTTATAAATTCTCTTCTTGTTTTTAATGAAATTATTCATTAATGTTAATTAATTGATTAATGGTATATAATATGTAATTAAATTAATTTTATTTGAATTTAGATGAAATGACCGATCCAGATGCTCAGCCATTCGTCTGGATAAGTAAATGGGTTGATTATTCGGATAAGTACGGTTTTGGTTATCAATTATCGGACGATGGTGTTGGCGTTATGTATAATGATGGCACACGATTAATTATGCTCGCCAATGGTCATAACATTCACTACATCAATCGAGATGGCAAAGAACTGTACTATACTGCCAGTAACTATCCCTCCAGTTTGGAGAAGAAAATGAAGTTACTTAATTTCTTTTTACGTTATATGACGGAACATTTAATGAAAGCGGGTGGAGCTATTGCGGTTAAACAAAGTGATTCGCTCTCCAGAATACCTTATATGAATCAATGGTTTAGGACACAAACTGCAGTTGTTATGCAACTGACGAATGGCTCTGTTCAAGTAAGTTGAATTCTTTTAGTTTTATTTCTACATTTAAAATTAGAAATTTCATTATTTTCTTTTGTCGTATTTAATTTACATCTGCTTTTTTATACCGCATTTATAACTACACTTTTAACCGCTTATTTTCCATATTATATGGTTTTCTCGCATTCTTTTCCTGGTATGTTTTCCATTTACTTTATTATTCCTTTGGTTACCTGCTTTTCCTTGTGTTTTCTATTTCATGCATTTTTTTATTTTATTCAGTTTCCACATTTTTTTCTCATTATAATTTTTAAAAGAATTTTTATTTTTCAATTTATTTTTTAATTACCTTTTAATTTTCTGATTCAAGAAACTTATTTTTATTTTTCGCTTAATTTATTTATCTTTTTGCAAATAGTTTAGAAGTCTTCTTTTCTTAGACTCAGTGAAAATGGCTTTGTTTCTCAAGTGAAAAGTCTTTGTCAAAAGTTATTTTATTTAAATTTGTTGATTTAAAAAAAAAACTTTATTTTAACTTCAAATTAAAAAAAATATATTTTAAATTACCGAAATAATTTTCAAAAGAATAAACACGAAATAATATAAAGACAATTAGAAAATAGGTAAAAAAAATTATAAACAGGGAAAAATAAAATTTTAAGAAATTGAAACAATCAGAAATAGAAAAACTTGTCTAAGGAAATTTATTTATTTATTTAGGATTAATTAATTATTTTTTTACCAAATTCATTGTTTATTTATTTCACTACTTATTTAGGTTTTAATAGTATGGAAAATAAATACAGTTAAACCTTTTAAAAACTATTTTTGAATAATTTTTTAAAGATAATTACATTTCCGAAATAAATAATTAAGAACTTTTTAAATACCTAATTAAAATTTTGTAAAATTTTATTCAAAATAATTGCGATTTTTTTAGTTATTTCAATTAAAATTTTGAATAATTTTAATAACGAATTCTGAAAATAATTTAATTCTCAAAAATTTTAATGAAATATCTTCAAATAAAAATTAGTGAAAATTAACTTCAAAAAATAGTATTGAAATAATTTTTAAAAAAGTAATTCTTCAAGAAATGATTGAATTTCAAAACGTTCCAAATTAAAGGTTTAGAAAATTTGAATTTTAAAACACTTTAACTAAAGAATCGTAAAAAGTCAGTTTTTGGAACAATTTTTATTCAAATTTTTTTAAATTTCTTGAATTTTCTAATTACCTATTTAATTGAAAACTTTTTAAAAATTTTAAATTTCATTAGTGGATTTTAGAAATATTTTACGAGAATTTTTTTCCTTGAATAATTATTGAATTTTCGAAGAACTTTTTCAAAAATTATTTTAAATAATTGATTCAGAGAAGAATTTTAGTTAAAAATTAATTGAATTTTAGTAGATTTTCGTTTACAATTTTTATAATTAATTGAATTTTAAAACATTTCGAATTAGAGTTTTAGAAAATTTGAATTAGAATTTAATAATTTTTATAATTTTATCTAATTATTTGAAAATTTTACTTAAAAATTTCAAAAATAATTTAACTTTACTAGAGCTGCGTTACCAATTTGTATAAATAATTAAATTTCAAATTAAAGTTATAGAAAATTTGAATTAGAATTTGACAATTTTACTTACAAATTCCAAAAATAATTTAATTTTACTGTAGTTGCTTTTCTTATTTTTATAAATAATTGAATTTCAAAAAGTTTCAAATTAAAGTTTTAAAAAATTTGTATTTTAAATGTTTTAAAAAACTTTAATTGAAAAATCCAAAAAAGTTAGTTTTTTGAAAAATTTTTATTCAAAGTTTTTTTAAATTATTTGAATTCTTGAATACTTAAGCTTTATTCATTATAAATTTTCAAAATTCAATTATTTTCAATATTTTGATTTTGAAAAAGTTTTGATGAAATTTTAAAGAAATCAATTATTTCAAAGTTTTAAAATAAAATTCTTTACAAAAATGATCAGTTTTTAAAATTGTCCCAAAATTATTTCAAGAAATTCAATTATTTTCGAAGAATTACATTACAATATTAAAAAAAACTAATTTTTTGAATTTATTCATCATAATTTTTTAAAATTCAATTTTCTTGAAAAAAAGTTACTTTAAAAATTTTTTTAAATCTAGTTACGTTATGTATTTTTATAATTGTAATTAAAATTCTCCAAAAAGTTGATTATTTTCAAAAAATTTAATTAAATTTCAATTATTTAGAAATTTTTTAATTGTATGAAATTGAAAAAATTCATTATCTTTCAAAATTTATTTGAAATATTTTTGAAAAACTAATTTCATGAATTATTTTACTATAATTTTTTTAAATTACTTATTTTCAATATTTCTGTTTAAATATTTTCAATAATTCATCTTAATAACTTTTAAAGCAACCATGAATAATTACAGTTTGCAATTGTTATAGAAATTTGAATTTTTGTATTTAAATAATTGAAATCTTAATGAAATTTTGGAAAATTATTAGAAATAATTGATTTAAAGAAGACAAAAAATTCCATTAAAAATTCTCTAAAATAATAAAATTTTGGAAGTCACGGTTCTCATTTTTAGAAATAATTAAATTTCAGAAGGTTTGATGTTGAAAATTAAGAAAAATCTAACTTTGTATAACACTGTATAAAATAAACGAGTTTTTCGACTTTTTTTCTATCTCTAATCGAATAAAGCTACTTTTTTTGCGCCTCAAAGTCGATCCGAGGCCTAATAAATAAAATAGAAATTTTATTAAAAATAAACAAATTTTTGTAAATAAAAATAAATAAAAATGACTACAAATGAAAGATTACTTACAAAATTAGTAATTAAAAATTTCTTTTAAACTTAAAAGAAAATTAACTTTTGACAAAGAATTTTCGACAGAATAAATTTAAAGTAGGGTAGAGTGGGGTAAAAAAGCCATGGTGTAAAAAAGCCATTTGAGTTTTATTTAAAAACTATTAAGCCGATTTATCAGCTGTTTAGAATATAAATACTATTAGGTAATACGCAACTTTTGAATCTAGTTTGAATGTTGTACCTAGATTAATATTGTTTTTATTGTAATTTTAATTTTTTGTTACTTTTTTGAAAACATTTTGGTGAACTTTTCAAACATATTACAATTTGATTAAGTGAACGAATAATAAAAGTAAATGTTTGTACATAAGGAGAAAAGTATACCGAAAACGTATACAATGTTAATTTTTGGAAATTGAACTGAATTAACAATTTATTTTTGCTTTTTTTAATAACTGGTCTTGGGTGTAAAAAAGCCAGGGCAAAAAATCCATTGAATATTTTGTGAAATTCACTTGTTTTCTATTTAAACTAACCTTCTTATTTTACAAAATTTCTCGTGTTTATTTAATAAAATAAATTAAACACGACGAAAAAGTAGTTCAAAGTGCATTTAAAAAATAAACAATGAATAAACGGTTGCAACGAAATATGTTATCTGTGGTAAAACTTAAAGAGAACTTCTAAAAAAGGTACGAAAAATTGGCAGTGCAAATGGAAAACAGGTAAACTTAATATAATTTTCAATTTTGCTTGCTAAAAACTCTTTCATAATTATTAGAATATTTTTCAAATAAGACTATTTGTCATATAAATAAAGGGAAACTATAAAAATACCTAAATTGATAACATGTTTTGCTAAAATCGTAGGGTGGCTTTTTCACCCCACCAGGTGGTGCAAAAAAGCCACTTACAGTGCTTTCGTAAAACTCTTATAACTTAGTCCTTTCATGAGATAAAAAATATTTCCGTCAAGAATTTTCAAGCTTAATAACTAAACTTTCAATAACAATTGGAAATTTGAGAAAAAAATTTTAAATACAGATTTTACAACATCAAAAGTAAAAATGTGGCTTTTTTACCCCACTCTACCCTATTGTTAATTAATAATTTAGTAGAATAGAAAAAGCAATGGATAATAAAGGAAAAAATTCTTTTTTTTCGATAGATTAACTTCCAGGATCATAGCAAAATCATAATGTGCCCTCTAATGGCAGCAGTAACGTATATAGACAAAGAGAAGAATTTCAGAACATACAGGTTCCAAACAATTCAACAACATGGCTGTTGCGCGGGTCTTGCAAAGAATTTAGAGTACGCGTATGAAAAAGTATCATTAATGATAAACAGCCCTGCACTTCGATAGTGTTAATAATAATAATGATAATATGTAAACGAAAAAAGTATGCATTAGGCATTCTACAGTCTAGTACCGTATTATCGCTGCTTTTAAAAAAAAATGGAAAAACGCTATATATTGCCTAAATAAGTTACTCGAATAGTAGATTAACAAGAGTCGTTAAGTTTGACTTTTTTTTTCGATAATTGTATAGAATTTTTTTAAAAACAGTTTTTATAACGCAGTAGGTACTGGCAAACAGAAGAACATATACAATTTGTATTTTAAGTATTTTAATTCGAAGGTATAATCTTCTTTTTGATACATGACTCTTTAAAATACTTAGCATTTTAATTTTTCATTCGGAAAAAAAATATTGGCACCTTTTATTTAGTTTTTTTTTAAACATAGATAAAATTGATCAAAATTTACACTTATGATGATGAATCTTATTTGAAATTTTTGAATTGAAAGTAAATGTCAACAGTGCAATCAGTCGTTCGATAAAACAAGCAAAGAAAATTAAATAGTCCACTAATTTTTATGTTTTTAGTTTTACTATCTTGATTTTATATAATTATTTTTTTTTAACAAAAGTGTGTGTTTTATCAAAAGAGAAAAAGAAGTGCGACTGATATAATAATTTTTGTAGTAGAAAAATGAGTATGAATAAAAGTACGACTGATTAATTTGAAATTTTTTTATTAAATATGATTTGTCATGGGCGCTGGTATTGAAACATGACATTATTATTAAAATCTAATTTAATTGTTTTGGAATTAAAGAGAAAGAAAGAAAAATGAGAGAGAAAGACAGAAAAGAGAAAGAACAAACGATGTATGTGTTTAAAATTAATTAATGTAAGTCTATGTACATATGCAATTATGAAGACATAGCCTACAAGACTATAAAAAAAGTGGAAGGTGATAATTTGTACAATTTACTATAGGAAAATTTTTTTCTGTAAAACATCATTACGACGCTCTGTTAAGAAAAAAGCAGGAAATAAAATTCTAAATTATCTAAAAAGAATCTAAAACAAAAAAAAAAAGAAAATAAAACAACAGTAGTATTTCCTAAAAAAAAGACTAAAAATAAATTGTGCCAAGAAAAAATAAAAGTCTTACAGAGGAAGTATTACTATGAAAAAAGTAATAGATTCTTTAAACAATATAAAAACAATATAATTTTATAATGTACTTAAACTGAATTTGATTGTTTTCAATCCGATAAAAGAAAGATGCTTGTTAATTTGAGTTTCAATTGTTACAAGTTGTTTTTACTTTTTACAGATAAACAAAAATATTTTTTAAATGAAATGAGAGAATTTTTTTGTTAGTTTTACAGGCTTCATCGATTTCTTTTCAAATACGTAAAAATAAAAATATTTTTTTAATATCTTATTCAATAAATTATATTGTTTACTGATAGAAAAAAAAGGTTACAACTTATTAAAACAGCCTTCTACGTAAAGCAAATTAATTTATTAACATTTATTTTAAAAAAATATTAATCAACGTTGAAATATATATATTAGAAAAGGTTTTATATATTACACCTTTTCGTTGAGAGAACAACAAACAATACGAATTTTCTGTGTATTATTAATTAAGCTAAACTAATCAAACTTTTTATACACAAAAAATTTAATAAAAAAAAGAACAATGCAAATTTTTAGTTACTTTAATTTGCCAGTAAAAAGTATTTTTAAATAATTGAATTTCCAGGGTTGCCACAGGTCAGGGAAATCAGACAAAAATCGGAATTTTATAAAAAGTACTGGACAAATATTCAATTTCCAGAATTGATAAGAAAATTTGGAATTTTTGTGTTCAGTAGTCTTTAAAAATATTGAACAAATTTAATTATTCTTGAAATTTTTGTATTTTTGTCTTATAAAGTTTGAAATCAAAAACAGTAAAAATTGAACTTTAAAAAATATGACATTCAATTTTTTAAAATAATTCTGCTTAAAAATTTCAAAAATAATTTAATTTTAGCAAATTTACGTTTACAATTTTCATAATTAATTGACTTTTAATGATTTTGAATTAAAGTTTTAGAAAATTTGAATTAAAATTTAATAATTTTACATGATTATTCGATAATTTTATTAAAAACTCTAAAAATAATTTAATTTTACTAGAGTTGCGTTTAAAATTTTTATAAATAATTGAATTTCAAAAAGTTTCAAAGAAAGTTTTAGAAAATTTGAATTTTAAAAGCTTTAACTGAAAAATCCTAAAAAATTTAGTTTCTTTGACAATTTTTATTCAGATTTTTTAAGGTATAGTTCTCCGGCCGCTACTCTTGTAAGAATTGATTTTCGATAGAATTTCTTCAAATTTTGAGAAAATGTTTCTTTGGGTGCCCTTTGAATGTGGTAAAAATTTCAAAACCCTTTGCCATGTCAAAGAACGAGATATTGTGGTTGACATTTTTTATTTTTAACATAATCGCATGTAAAAGTGAAAGTTTGAACTTGAATAACTGAAAATTTAGCATCGCAAAGGGGTTTGAAATTTTTACCACATTTAAAAGTCACCCGAAGAATCATTTTCTCAAAATTTGAAGAAAATTTATCGAAAATTAATTTTTACAAGAGTAGCAGCCGGAGAAATACCTTAAATTACTTGAATTTTTGATTACATATTTAATTAAAAATTTTTTAAATAATTTAAATTTCATAAAATTGAATTGTAAACAAGTGGATTTTAGAAATATTTTAGGAGAACTTTTTTCCTTGAATAATTGGATTTTTGAAGAACTTTCTCAAAAATTATTTAAAATAATTGATTTAGAGAAGAATTTTAGTTAAAAATTCTAGAAAATAATTGAATTTTATTATATTTTCGTTTACAATTTTTATAATTAATTGAATTTTAAAACATTTCTAATTACAGTTTTAGAAAATTTCTATTAAAATTTAATTTCAAAAATAATTTAATTTTATTAGAGTTGCTTTTATAATTTTTATAAATAATTGAATTTCAAAAAATTTCAAATTGAAGTTTTATAAAATTTGTATTTTAAAAAACTTTAATTAAAAAATCCGAAAAAGTTTGTCTTTTGAACAATTATAAACAAATTTTTTTTAAAATACTTCAATTTTTTGATTCCTTGTTTAATTGAAAATTTTTTAAATAATTTAAATTCCATAAAATTGAATTGTAAACAAGTGGATTTTAGAAATATTTTAGAAGAACGTTTCTCCTTGAATAATTGATTTCTCGAAGAACTTTTTAAAAATTTATTTTAAATAATTGATTTAGAGAGAAGAATTTTAGTAGATTTTCGCTTACAATTATTATAATTAATTGAATTTTAAAAGATTTCGAATTAAAGTTTTAGAAAATTTGTATTAAAATTTAATAATTTTACCTAATTATTTGACAATTTTTTTTTAAACTCAAAAAATACTTTATTTTTTGTAGAGTTGCGTTTACAATTTTTAGAAATAATTGAATTTGAAATTCAAATTATAGAAAATTTTAATTATAATTTAATAATTTTATTCATTTACCTATAATTATTTGACAATTTTATTAAAGATTCCAAAAATAATTTAATTTTACCAGAGTTGCTTTTCCAATTTTTATAAGTAATAATTGTATTACAAAAAATTTCAATTAAATTTTTAAAAAATATGTTTAAAATTTTTTAAAAAACTTTAATTAAAAAATCCGAAAAAGTTAGTTTCATTAACAATCATAAACAAATTTTTTTTAAATACTTGAATTTTTTGATTTCTTATTTAATTAAAAAAATTTTTTAATAATTGAAATTTTATAAAATAGAATTTTAAACAAGTGGATTTTAGAAATATTTTATAATCTTTTTCCTTGAATAATTGAATTTTTGAAGAACTTTTTGAAAAATTATTTAAAATAATTTATTTAGTTGAAGAAGTTTAGTAAAAAATTCTAGAAAATTATTGAATTGAAATCTTCAAAATAATTTTATAGAATTTAAAGTAGGTAGTAATTTTGATAGATTATCAAATTTTAAAGGGTTTGAAATTTGAATTTTTTCAAAAATTTCAATTTCTATGGAAAAATAATAATAATGATTAAATATTTATTTGATCTAAAAATAAATTTTGATGTTTTGATTAATTTTACGATTAAAGACACTATGATATAAACAAAATGTTTTTTGTGTATTAAATAATAATTTTTAGAGTGAATTAGAATATTCTTTAGAGTCAAAGAAAAAGTCATAATTTTGTCTCGAAATCAGGGAAAAACAAAATCAAATGTTTGTGGCAACCCTTAGTTTTCTCTTGTAAAAATTTATTTTATTTTTGAATTATTGTTGACAAAAATATTGACATATGGATACAAAAAAAAATCGTCGATCTTTCTTATACTAAATTTCACTTTTTTCCTTAAAGGATAAAGTTTTTTTTTTGTCAAAAACATTCTTTTTGGTTTCGATTCATGCATATTATAAATATTTTTTTTCAAACCAAAAAAATACATAATATGTAAATATGTAAAATAGTTATAAATTTTTTTTCTATAAAAATTTACTGGTACAATATTTTTTCTGTATGATACAATTGTTATCACTGGTTTAAGTGGTTTTTCAAGTACTCGTCGAAGTTTCTTTTACAACAATTTTGAAATATAATTATTGAAATATTAATTTTATGTTCGAAATCAACATTTACGAAAAATGCGTATCGAAAATTATCAAAATCAAAAAGACGGTAATTTTTGATAAATTTCGAATTATCAATAAATATTGATTTCGGGTTTTAAGTTTTCATGTCTGTTAAAAATGGTAAATTTGGTATACATTTTCTTTCATACATCTTTAAAATTTTCTTTCGTGAAAATTTTCCTTATTTCAAATTTGGAGAAAAATTAAAAATTCATATAATATCTATTTTCTATAGAAAAGGAAAGAGCCAAAAAAAGAGTTACCAAGTTTATCTCTGTTTAACGAATAACTATAAAATCAATACATAAATTTTAATATAAATAAGAATGAGCCAGTCTTTAAAATGGTTTTGAAATAAAATAAAATTAAGGACAAGTTCATTATTTTATTACTGACTCAAAAAAAAATTATATAGTATCTTATTTTTAATCAGACTCATTTTTATTACTATTAAAAAATTTTAATTTCACTAACGAATTGTTAATAAAATTAGAATTTTGAGCTGTTAAATATATAAAATTCTAGTTTATCAAAGCTAAATTAAATTTTTAGCTTTTAATAAGAATTTTCGGCCTTTGAGGCTTATTTCTATATTCATGTACATTGGGCTCATTTTTTCTTTTTTTTACAAAATGAATAAATTTGTTCATTGTTATTTAAATATACATTTATATAATTATGTGCAATAGATTGATAAAATATATTTAAGGTGAAAATCTAGGTATCCAGGAGTGAACTCTTCGGTGTCGTCCGCAACTGCACCTGGGTCGGAGAACTGCCAATAGAGCAAGAGCTGCGCCTAAAATAGAGACACCACATAGTGCACCTGCTGTCACGTCGTGAAGAGGAGTTCCTTTTTTTGGCCCTTTCACTGCAAGGAGTAAAAGTCCTGCACAACTTAATGCCGAGAGTCCCGCCAAACCTAAACCTGTCCAGGTTTTTCGTAAACTTCTCGATGCACCTGCTAGAGCACAACACAATCCACAAACGATGGCGCTATCGAAATAATACCTGGAAGAAAAACAAAATTCAGATGAGATTCAATTTTTTATTTATAGGTACAGAAATATTTTTATTTAGTTTTTTTTTATTTTATTTATTTTTACTGCATGTAAAATTATACTAAGTCAAAGATAACTCAAATTTTTTTAGTTATTCTCATATATTGTTGGAAAATATTCAGTAAAATTAATTTTCGTTTCTTTTTCAATTAACAGGCTTCGGATCCTATTACTTTTTGGACTTCTTTCGACTACTTTCAAAAAAAGGCGATTTTTTCGACTGCTTTAAAAAAATGCAATTATTCTTCCTAATATTGCAACAAAAAATCACTTTTTCCGCAAAGCAATACAATTTATTTCGATTTTTATAGTGTGAAAAATAATTAGTCCAATTTTTCGAAATTATTTTTGAATAATTTCTTCAAGGGGACAGTGCCTACAACGTTATTTTTAACTATATCAAGAAAATAATTCAAATATTCCTTAAAATTGGTTTTAAGGAATTTTTTTGTGAGAAATTCAATAGTCAGGAAATATTTTGACCATTTTTGAATTTTTATTTTTTTTAAATATTGGTAGATTTTGAAATCCATGCGTAATTTTGTAGAAGATATATTTTTGAACCCACAAAAAAATTGCCAAATGAAAAAATTGATTTTTACCATTTTTGAAGCACTTTCAGTCTAAAGACAAAGTTTTTTTTCAAAAAAATGCTTCCAAAATAGTAAAAATCAATTTCTTTATTTGTCAATTTTTTTGTGGATTCAAAAATATATTTTCTACAAAATTAAGCACAGATTTCAAAATCTATCATTTTTTAAGAAAAATAAAAATTCCAAAAGGGTTAAATATTTTCTTTCCGACTTTATTATCTGACCATTGAAAACAACACAAAAAATTACCTTAAAAAAATGTCGTGGAATTAAATTTTTAAAAAATAATTTAATTTTTGGAATTTTTTTTTTGAAAATAATTCATTTTTCTAAAAGTACCTAATTTATTAAGATTTTTGAACATAAAATTTTGGAGAGATTTAATTGCAAATTTGGAAAGTAATTAAAGATACAAAATTTTAATAAAAAATCTTCAAAATGAAAATTAATTAAATTTAGATTCAAAAAATAATATTAATATATTTTTTAAAAAAGTATCTAATAATTTAATTCTTAGAATTTTTTCATTATAATTTTGGATAAGTATAAAATTTTTGTGAAAAGAATTATTTTCATAATTTATAATTAAAATTCATCAAAAAGTTGATTAGTTTTTTAAATTACAAAAATTCTTTTAAGAAATTCAATTATTTTCAAAAAATGTTACTAAATTGCAATTATTTTGAAAATTTTCTCAATGGTATACGATTTTGAAAATCTTTTATCTTTCAAAAATTATTTAAAAATATTTTTAATAAACTAATTTGAAGACATTTTTTTAAAAAAAGCCATGAAGAATAAAATAGTTACAATTATTATAAAAGATTGGATTTTTGTTTTTAAATAATTGAAATCTTGAAGAAATTTCGGAAAATGTTTTAAAATAATTGATTTAGAGAAGTTTAATTAAAAATTCTTGAAAATAATTCAATATAAATTTAAAAAATTTTAATTCCTATAGAAAAAAATAACAAGTATTCAAATATTTATTTAACAAAATTATTGGAGTTGATTGATATTGCCTTTTTTTGGAATTTTTTTTTGTGCCTTAAAGTAGATCCGAGGCCTGAATTAATCAAATTTTTTAAGGGACGAATTTTCAAAAAAAAAATCAATTTTACATATAAAAGATGTAATTTTTATATTCAGTGTGAAAATGTATATTTTCATTATTCAAAGTAATTCAGAAAAATAACATTTTCTTTAGAGAAAATATGTTTATATAGAAGTTTTTAATTAACAGACTATATATTTCATTGAATTCTCATTTAGTAGCATTTTGATTTAATAAAAGTTTTTTAATTATTAGATAATATTGAAAGAAATTGTTATACTTATAAGCGGAATCTTCATTTATTCGTTTTAAATTTACCTCTCAAATTAACTTCTTTACCTACAATTCACAGATAGGAAACTCTTTGGGTTTATTTGCCACATGCAAAATTAATTAAATTATTTAATAATTAATTATATTATTTAATATTTTAATTAATTCATTATTATTTCTAATTTTTTATTATTGTATTATTTAAAATTTCCTAGTTATTAAATTTGAAATCACTTGCAAAATTTGTAAAATAATGAAAAATGTTCTATCAGTATTGTTCCAATTTTGCGACTATTCTTTGAAACTGCGAAAATAATTTCTTTAAATCCTTTAAATCAAAGTTTATGAATTGGTGGCCATTTTAAGCGGACACTTGCAGAGCTTGCAGAGTAATGTAGTCGCCGCACTCGCCGCAGCACGTGACGCACTTGGGCTCATTTTCTTCTTCTTCAGAAGATTGTTTTGCAGAAAATATGTGAGTATTAGACAAAGTTAATTGCAACAATATACACGCGATGTTATAAATTAGGGAAATAAATATTTGTAATCAGTACTTTGTAAAAAAGTGGGTAAATTTCATGAAATTATAAATTTGAACTAATCTATCTTCAAAACAAGTTTTTCTGTTGTAATCGTTGTAATCGTATAATATTTAGACTATTGTGTACTTAATTTTGTGACATTTTTGCTTTTAATTCGTTTAAAAGTTTAATAGAAATACTATAATGGGTATAAAGTTATTAAAGGAATCTACAAAATTGATAATTTCAGGTTTTTCTAAAATGTTCGAACATAACCTCAAAAAAAGTTTTTCAATTCGTTACATTTTTAAAAAAGTTCTTTGTATTTCTATCATAAAACTGGCTTGGGAAATATGTTTTCCCACGTCGAAAAATTACAATTTCCCATCTGGGAAAGTTAATTAATGTTTTATTTCGTCAAGTGAAATGACCTAATCCGACTAGACAATTTTTAAGATTATTACGTTCGACGTGGTGAAACTTATTTTGCACGTCGAATTTGATAAAATTGATAAAATTACACAAAATTTGTTAATTGTGCAACGAGGCAACAAATTATAGTATTTTTTTAGGTTACATTGCAAAATTTACACATTTTGCATTATTGCAAAATTTTGCATTTCAAAATTGCGACATTCAATAGTCTATAGATTATACATATCTGGTTCTTGCATCCTAACGTGTAATCTATACAGATTTTTTGAATACTTTTTTTCGTTCTCTTGAAATTATATTAATTATAATAATTTTTAATAAAGTCTACCTAGAGGTCCAAAAATATAAATTTTGAACAAATTTTAAAACATTTTTTGTGGTCAAATTTGTATTAATTAGGCTTTAAAAAATAATTTCTGTTAAAAATATTTTAATTAAATAATCTTTTCTAATAAAATATAGTTATTTGTAGTAAAATATATTTTCTAATAAATTGTATTTTCTAATAAAATACTGTTTTGCAGTAAAATATATTTTTCCAATAGAATATATTTTCTAATAGAAACAATTTCTAATAAAATGTGTTTGATTTCTCTTTAAAATAGGTGGTAAAGTGTTGCTTACATTCTTCCTTGAGTTAAAGACAAGTAATAAGCCAAGCCACAGGTGAGAATTCCAACGAGCACCAAAAGAAGTGGTGCACTATTTTTGTTATACTTTTCTGCTCCACTTGCCATTGTGGTATTTGCTTCACTGGTGGGTGGCGATAGCGGAGGAACCTAAAAACAAAATCAATTTACATCTCAAGGAAAGAAAAAAAGATTCAACTAGAAATTATTCATCATCTCCACACTGACATTCGGTAAGAATATTATTATTATTATTTTACTTTCCAACAATAAGAATTAAATATGAAATAAAGTATAATAAGTAAAAAATGTTGTATTAAAATTGTTGAAAATTTTCTTTAATTATGAATGAAAACTTACCACAGCTGTTCTCGCAATGAATGCATTTTCAACGCTTTGATAACCACATCTTTTTTGTTCAGGTGATACAACTTGATATTTGAGTGGACTCGAAACCATTGGCATTGTGTCTGTTCCGCTTTGAAGATATTGATATCTCGATATTGAATATCCCTGGTCTAATTGAACCAAGTCTGTTGGTGTTGTGCCCGTATAACGTAATTTACCACAATTGGATGCAGGACACAGATCTTGTTGACGGGATGAACTTTCGTTGAGTGGTAAACATCTTCTCGCTGATGATTCCTTATTGGGAGTTGAAGTCTGTGGTCCATTTGGCGAAAATGCTCTATTTTGTGGAGTTCCCAATGGCGTTCCCCGAGGATTTGGACTCAGAGCTCGACCTTTAATGAGTAATTAGAAAATTTAATATTTTTTACTTAATAATAATTACTTTATTTAGAAAATTTTCAATATTTCAGGGATCACAATTTGTCTCCTTTTTTCTTTTTTCCCCTTTTTTATCTTTTAAAATTAACAAAAATCCCCTAAAACACCTAAAATTATGTATAAATTATCCCCCTTTCCCTCTTTTTTTTAAAGGAAAAATCAGGGTTGCCACAGTTTAGTGGCGTCTTCCTCAGTTCCTGACGAAGTAATGCATGATAAAAAATTTATTTGAATTAAATAACTGATTACTTGATCTAAAAAGAAATTACTTATCAAATAATTGTTTACTTGAAGCAAGTAAATTTTCATTTAAATTAAATAAATTCTACTCAAGCCAATAATTTCTGTATATATGACGCAAATAGTATTATTTGATTGATATTACTTAATATTTAGTTGATAATAATTCTGATTTTTAGTGTACTTTTGTAACATTTTTTAATATTTTTAAAACATTTAAAAAACTTTGAATTTTCATTGAATTTTTTATCACTTCTTATTTTTGTAAATAGTTGAATTTATTTTCAATAATTAAATTTTAGAATAACTTTCTAACACTTGTTAATTATAGTTAACTTGAAATTCCTGTAGAAATATAATAATAAAAAAATTTATTTATTAAAAAAAAATTATTTATGTTTTGAATAATTTTTCAATAATTGAATATATTCATAAATGTATTAGAAACATTTTCTTGTGTATCTTATCATTTTTTGAGAAAATCAGAATATTTTTTATGGTCAGTGAAGTAGTGAAATTTTTGTCTGAACATCAGGGAAAAGCAAAATCAAATTCTTGTGGCAACCCAGAGAAAAATATATAAAAAATCTTTAAAATAAATTGTGTACGCTATAGAACAATAATTTATTTGCTTAATTTGAAAATTTCCTTTTTTAAAAATGAAAATCCTCTTTTTTTTACCTAAATAGAAAAAATCATTGTGATCCCTGATATTTCTTGAAATTTTAAATTGAAAAAAAATGAATCATAATTTTATATAATTTTGTTAATTTATTATTTAAAAATTTTCATAATTTTCATTAAAATTTGTAAGTAGTAGTAGTAGTAGTGGAATTAGTACCAACCTGATGGTGAATTTCCAGGACTGAATGCTCTCCGTTGAGGTGTTCCAGTTTGGGGAGCTGTGTGATGTCTCTTTGGAGATAGTGTTCTTTCCTCTGAACGTGACCTGGGTTTCCTGGGAGTGGTCAATATTTCATGGAGTTTTTGAGTGGCAATATTATTTCGAGGGGATGCTGGAAATTCCGAAACATTCCTGTCTGGAAGTGCTGGAGGTTCCTCCAAAGGTAAACTCGTGTATCGACCTGAAGGAAAGAACATTTCAATCTACTTTGTGTTGAGAAAAGGTTAGTGACAGTATTTTATTAGCATGAATTTTATTAGCCAAAACGTTCCTTAAAAACAATTTTAAGAAACAAAGACTTGCTATAATCATCATCATCATCATCATCATTCGACAAAAATGATGATAGAGAAATTTTATTTTCTTATCGCAAATCGTTTAATTATCTACTCTTATTACCAATTACGGTTAATATGAGTTCATAAAATGAAATGCATAACAATCAATGAAAGATAATTGAAAGAAATCGTTTCTGAATCGTGAATTTTAATTTAAAAATGGTAAAATTTTACGATGTGGAATTTTTAAACGATTGTATCTGTTCTTGTAAGAAAAACAAGATTATGAATCGAGTGTAATTTTACGATCGTTAGCAACATACAGGTTCATGATTAGCCGACCATTAAACGAAGGGGGGGTTTTTTTTCTTGTATCATTCTCGAGCGACCATTTGAGAAAATTATTGATGATGAGACGCTTTTAGAGAAGGAATATTCAATTTCTATAAAAAGTAAAATTCCTTTCTTTTGCAACAATATAATTTCTGAATCTTTTTTTTTATTTTATGAAAAACAAAGTTTATTTGTGGCGTGACAAAATTTGTTACATCGTATCTTTTTGATCGGACTTTTTAAAAAAACATTTTTGTTCATCTGAATTTTCAATTTTTAATAGATTTTCAAGCAAACTAATTTTTGTTTATCTGGAATTTGATTTGGTTGAATTTTATTTAATTGAATTTTTAGTATGATTGAATTTTATTTGCAAAAATTGAATATTAAATTGAATATTTCTTTTACTGAACTAATTTTATGAAATTTACATTTATATCAAGTTCTGCTATTACCGAATTTTTTTATTTAACCGCCTTTACTGGCCATGGAAATTTTATTTAGTCTAATTATTAATCAGAATAATATTTATTAAACCAAATTAATTTAAGAAAATTTTAATTTGTCTAAATTTTCAATTCTATATAAATTTGATGTCTCAATTTTTAATTTTGCACAAAAATACATTAGATTTGACTTTCAGTTGTTACTTCTATTTTTGTGTTTTGGTCAATTTTTAAAATACTAAAAAATTAAGAAGTTATAGAAAAATCGACTGAGAGCCAAAAATAAAGTATTTTTCGCTGGATCCTTTGAATAGTAAAAAATAATAATAATAAAATAATAATTTTTGTGTTATCGAATTAAAAAATATCTAATAAAAAATATAGAATTTATATTTAACTGATTTTAATAAAGTGAAATTTATAAATTAATGAAAATTTTACAATATGCAATATTTTTTTGATAAAGTTTTATTCAAAAAATTGTAACTTAATCCACAATTTATGCTAATAATGATATTTTACTTTAATTACTTTTCATGATTTTTAATTTGATGAATATGAAAATTGATTTTAATAGAAAATTACATTTATCAAAAATTCAGTTTTGTAGAAATTTTGTTAAATATTAATTATCAAAATCAGGGAAAAATAAGGAAATTTTATAAAAAAATATCTCCAGGAATTTCGAAATAATACCTGAATTTCTATTATTTCAATTTTTATAATTATAAAATTATTCAAAACATCAATGATTTTTTTATAATATATAATTTAATCATTATTTTAATTATTATTATTATTATTCTTATTATTTTCACGAATAATTATTTTTCAAAAAAATTTTAGAATTTTCTAAAATTCAAATTTAAAACTTTTTGGAATTCAATTATTTATAAGAATTGAAACTGCAACTATTCCAAAATTCAATCACTTTATAGTTATTTTATTATAATTATAATAATTGTTATATACAAATTATAGTTTAAAATTGTTTTAAATTGAAATATTTGAAAATTTAAATTCTCTTGAAAATAAGTAATAATAATGATTAAATTATTTATTTTCAAAAACATTATTGTTTCGAAGAATTTTACAACTAAATTTTGGAATACTGGTGAAATTCAAAATTAACAAATTCAGAGAAAAAATATTGTTCTAAGCTAACTTAAAAAAAATTATTAATTGTTTGATTAATTAATTAAAAAATTTATTATGGATTGCTATACAAAAAATTTATGTCGGTGGAGTTGACAATACACTGAAAAAAAATTTATTTGATTCAAATAAACAATAACTTGAATATTATTTTTATAAATAATAAAATTCTTCTCCGAAATTCAATTATTTTCAAAAATTTTAATAAGATTCTTGGCAAAATTTCAGTTATTTCCAAAAATTTTCTTTAATTCAATGTTTTTCAATACATAATTCAATTATTTTCATAAATATAATAAAACTCATCATAGAAATTCAATTATTTTTAATACAATTTTAATCAAATTCTTCGAAAAATGTAATAATTCTTAAAAATTTTATTTAAAATTCGTCGAAAGAATTCAATTATTTAAAATTATGTTGAAAAAATTCTTTATGAGAATTCAATTTTGACAAACATTCAATTATTCAATACCTAAAGTATTTTTGTATTTATATAATTGAATTCTCGTAGAATGTTCTACTAAAAAATTATTTAAAAATGAGTTTTAGTTAAAATTTTAGATAATAATTGAATATTAAAAGCATTATAGAGACATTTTTTTGGATAAATAATTGAATTTTGAAAAGGTTTCAAATTAAAATCTTTGAAAATTTGAATTTTTTATATTTTAAACTAACAATTCTGTAGAATTAATTTTTTTGAAAAAGTTTAATTGAATTGTAAACAAATAGATTTGAAAATTTTCAAGGAAGAATATTCTAATAATGTAAAATACTGATTTATCACTCGGTCATCTTTAATTATTATAAAACATGAAGACATCGATCACTCCCAGTTGAAGACTCGGAATGAAACAAAATTTTGTCTGGAAATCAGGGAAAAGTCAGGGAAAAACAAAATCGAATTTTTGTGGCAACCCTGAAATACTATTTAGTTGATTTAAATAAAAATTATTTGATTCAAGTAAATATTTATTTGATAATAGTCAAGTAATTGGTTATAAGAATTAAATAAATTCTTTTTTCAGTGTACTATCTACTTCACCGTTATTCGATAATTTACGAAATTAGAAGCAATAAAAAATGCTTAAATACAAAGTCAAGTGCGTGATGGATAATATTGGTCTTGAATTATTTCAGCCTGCAATAAAAAAAGAAACAATAACGTGGAACTAATGAATTTCTCGGAATTGAATGATTTATACCTTGTGGAGTACTGATTTGTCGGCGAATAGGAGAAATGACTTTAGCACCATTCCAAGATGTCTCATTCTCCTGATAGTCTTGATCACCCGGTACAACGGCGTATCTTGCCCCGTTGTTCCTGCACGTTCGCAGCTGCAGTTGTCCGTTGTCTTGGTTGACTGGCGGCGCGGAACGAAGCACCTGTTGATGTGGAATAAATTCATATCTCGATGAGCCCGTTCTGTGTAATTGGGCTCGCTCATCGTCCTGAATGTATTCATATCTCGATTGTGATGATTGTGTGTAGGTCATCCGTTGCTCTTGGACCGGAACACTGCCATATCTTCTGTGACTAGGTGGTCCAGTCTCCTCAAGATAACAATAACGTTGCTCCTGAGCGTGATTACTTCGCGTTTGTATTTCCGCTGCAGTTTCTGGTTGACTTTGAAAGGCAGCGTTTGTCTGTCCGTATTGCTGCTGTTGTTGGTGTTGATGCATCTGCAGCTGCTGTGGCGGCGGTGGTGGGGGGAGATCATCTCCCTGAAATTGTGGAGGTGGCGGGAGGTCATTCCGGTCATCATGAATGAATTCGGATTGTCGGCAAAAGGACGGGTTCGTGTAACAATGCACTGGCGTTGGATCGTTCGGATGATTCATTTTTGTTTTTTTGTTTTTTTTTTTTTTTTGCTTCTTTTGATACTTTTTTATTTCTTTTGACTCTTTTTTGTCTCTTGATTCTTTTTTTGGTTAGTTTGCTTCTTTTTTGACTCTTGATTTTTTTTTTGTTTAGTTTGCTTCTTTTTTGTCTCTTGATTCTTTGTTCCTTTTCGAAAGTTGATTCCAATCAATGGGGGAGTTTGAAGTCACATTATTTGACCCCTAAACCGGTTCACTTGAATGACACTGTATAGACGATCATTGAACCGCGTGGCGAGTGGGTGAGTTGCGATTTTAGCATAATTGATTCTGAATTTGATGATAATTATTGTCGGCGGTTTATTAGGAGAATGATGATACTGCTGACAAAGGTGGGAGTTTGCCAGGTTTCCAAGGACCGGGTCACGGACGGACGTAGCGGCGCTACTGGTCTCTGAATTTCCGAAAAACACTTTATGCACATTTTTTTGAATTTTTCATGGGTTTACCCCTTTTTTAGTTTTTGTAATTTCTTCTTCTAATTTCACACTCGCTTCTCTCCTTTATTGTCAGACTTTTTCAGTCTTCACTTTTAGGTTTCTTCTCTCTTTTCTCTTCTCTTCTCTTCTTCTAATTTTATTTCCCGGTTTTATCCTTCACTGAATCCTGTTTATTTTTGAAAATTTTTTTCATTAATAATAATCACTGTTTTGTCGATTTCACTTTATTAGATATTTTAGATTTCATTTCTCTTTGTCTTGAAATTTTCTTTGCACTTTTCTTTCACTTTTTCTTTTTGGTCTTCAACCGTCGTTTTTTTTTAAATTAGTTGAGCGGTGAATATTATTTTTGAATTTTGCTGAATTTATTTTTTGTTTTGCAGATTGGGAGGAAATTTTATTTATTTATTGAAGAGACGAGTGACGCGTGCTGTATTATGGTTTTTGCAGAAGTGGATGAAATGGAGTTTTGAATTGAAAGGAAGATTCGTTACCGTTACTTCCTTTGACCTGAACTCGACGGTTGCTGCGTTCAAACTGCCTGATTTCCCTTGTAGCAGATGCGCAAAGGGCGTTTCGTTGGCTTTTAATGCGACTGTTGGAGTTCCAGGATGCAGAGGGGTTGCAATACAGGCCCCGATGTCAACTTCGTGGGGTAGGGACGCACGATATAGTCGACTCGAATAGTTCCTCTACTGATGCAGTATAGGGGTGCATTTAAATCATCCTGCAAAAATAGTTGGAAAATACGTTAGAATTATGACTGGTATAGATATTATTATGTTTTAAAAGGGAAATCATTTTTGTTTCACCGAATTAATTATCGAATGGGGAGTATTTAAATTCTAAATAATTTAAATAAATTAAATGAAAAATGAAGAAAGGAGAAAAAATTAAGAAACTGGTTTAGTTTCAAGAAATATCTTCTTTGAATAAATAAATAGTGAATAGGAATTGTGGAAATTTGATATATTTGATTTTCACAACTATCGAGAATATTTACAGTTTGTAATTCTTTATTTGAAAAACTAATTATGATTTTTAAAAATTTTTTCTTAGGGTAGATTAGTAAACTTTAAGTTATTTTATTTGTATTTATTTTTGAGCATTTCTTATCTTATTTATTCTTAAATTTATTAATTTTTATAAAACTTTTTGTGACTCTTTAAATATTTGTAAAAATTACTGACTGTTATAAAAAGCAAGAACAAAATTAAATATTTACAATCTTTATGATTTATTTTTCAATATGTGAAGCAATATTATTGCAATATTTTAATTTGCAGAAGAATTAAAAAAATTTCGTCTATTTGAACGTTCAGAACTTTAGGGAAGTTAATTTATTCATTTTATTAAGTTTATTATTTTTATAAATTTATTAATCTTTATTAAATTAAATGGAATTTACAAGCAATAACCACTTTTGATGAAGGGTTTGCTGAACGCTTAATTAATCTAAAAAAGTTTCTAAAAATTTTATTACTATAATGAATATTTGAAAAAGTCAAGAATTTCAAACAATAAGAGAATCATTAATGGTACGAAGTAATGATATCTTTTTTATAAGGAAACCGTAATTGTAGTTTATTAAATGTAAAGAACTGGAAATATTGTTCTTAATTTTCTTCATTTCACTATATTTATGTATTTTTCAATTTAATTTATTTATTTTATTTGTTGATGAATAGAATTTTATTCGATTATTTTATTTTTGATTTATTTTAATTTTAATTTTATTTATTTATTATTTTCTTAATCAGGGTTGCCACAAGTCAGGAAAATCAGGGAATTTAGAAAAATTTTTCATTTAAAATTTTTAAAAATTCAAAGAGTCACAATCGAATGTATATATTCTACTTCTATTTTGTAAAAATGACTGAATTTTTATAAACAAGTAATCGAAATTCTGTTAAATAAATGAAATTTACAGGAATTTGTTTAAAAATAATTGAAGTTTTAAATAATTCACTGACATTTTTGAAAATAGTGGAGATAAGTTCGACATAGTAAAACTAATTTTATTTTTATTTATTATATTTTAAACTAGCAAAAGTTACGCGCGCTAGCGCGCGGAACGTGATGTTCAATTTCTTATTGTTAAGTAAATTACAAAGTTTTTTATTTTTAAATATATAAATTTTTTAAATAACTTCATAATCAAAATTTTTTAAACTCACTTATTAAGTACAAAATTAATTATTAAAGTTCATATTTTCAAAAATTTTAATAAAATTTTGATACATACATCCTTCTAAACAATTCAATTATTTTTTTAAATAGTAAAATCTTTACAAAAATTCAATTATATTCAAAACAATTTTAATTGAATTCCTCAAAAGAATTCAATTTTTTAACACATTTCGAAAAAATTTAATTTTTTTCTAAAATTTTAATAAATCCTTTGAAAAAATTCAATTATTTTTATAAATAGTAAAATTGTTCGCAAGATTTCAATTAATTTTATAAATAGTAAAATTCTTTGCAGGAATTCAATTATTTTCAAAACAATTTTAATTGAATTCCTCGGATGAATTCAAATATTTTTAAATATTTTCATAAATTTCAATTCTTTCCTAAAATTTTAATAAATTCTTCGAAACAATAAAATTCAATTATTTTAATAAATACTAAAATTCTTTGCAGGAATTAAATTATTTTTAATCCAATTTAAATAAAATTACACGAAAGAATTTAATTATTTTCAAAAATTTCCATAAAATTCAATTTCAACACAAGAATTTAAAATTTTCTAAGAATAATTCAATTATTCTTAAAATATTTTTAAAAAATTCTATATAATAATTAAATTACTTTCAATGCAATTTTTAAATATATTCGTCAAAAAAATTGAAAGAATTCAATTCTTCTTCCTAAAATTCAATTGCTTTCAAAATTTTCAATTAAAACTATTAAAGAAACTCCATTAGTTTAAAAAAAATTCAAAGAAATTCTCAAAAGAATTTAATTAGGATTTTTAAAAATTTTAATAAAATTCTTCGCGAGAATTCAGTTATTTTGTTAAATAATCGAATTATTTGAAGAAATTCTATTATTATCAAATTTTTGATAAAATTCTTTGTAACAATTCGATGATTTTCAATACTTACATGAATTTTAAAATTAAAAGTATTTGAAAAGAAAAATTATAAAAAAGTTAAGAAACAAAAAAGCAAACAACAACTAACTTCAAACTGCGAACAGATTACCGGAACATGTACATACTTTATTATTATTAATTAAATTTTTGTTTCTTTTTTGCTTCTAAATATTTTTTTTATAATTAAATTCATTGAATTTTTTTATAGGAATCAGGTAAACAGTTAAAATTCTATCTGAAAATCAGGGAAAAGAGAATTCAAAATTTTGTGGTAACCTTGTTATTCGTTTTATTTATTCTATTTGCTTCATTCATTATTTTCTTCATTCGTTTTATTTTATTTGCTTTACTCATTATTTTCTTTATTCGTTTTATTTTATTTGCTTCATTCATTATTTTCTCTATTCGTTTTATTTATTTATTATTTATTAATTTTCTTATTTATTTTTTTTAGTTTATTTATTTTGTGTATGTATTTATTGTTTTGTAATATTTCCCAAAATAATTACATTAGCAGTAATTTTATAAGAAGAAAAGAAAGAAGAAATAAATTTAAAGGCTTAATAATATCTAAATATTAATTTAAATGCTCGATAATAAATTTAAAAATGAAAATGGTCGTTCGAAAAGGTTTTTAAAGATGAACTCGGATGAATATAAATATACAGGTGGCACGAAAGGACAGATTAACATTTGAAACCATTCCATTTATATAAAAGGTTCGTAACATTTTTTCGAGTATTTCTTTCCGCATGGTTCGAAAAGTCACGAAAGAACTTTGGTTGTTGGGACTGTAGGCAATTTTCTGGACAGCTGCCGCGACCGTTGGACGCGTGCCTCAATCGTAACAGCTGCCCCAATACCGATGTTAGTTGTATATGAATGCGCACATCGAAATCCTTATCGATATCCTTCGAGAGTCCTTTTAAACTGGTGCAACGGTCGAAAAGTCATCAACAATTTTTACCATTTGTTTTTCCTAAATTTTTATTCTATTCTATTCTGTTATATTATTAAGTATATTCTTATCAAATTAGAAAGAATTTTTTTTTACTATTATTCGTTTTGAGGGAACAAAAATTTTCGTTTTTGAGGGACAATAAATTCTGTTAGTGGGGAAAAATAATTTTCTTGAACCAGATTCAAAACGTAAAAAAATAAATAGTTTACGTGAAAGTACTTTTGTTGTTTTTTATGAAACTATGAAAATAAGGTTCGTAAAAAAAATGTTGACAGCCTTTAGAATGAACGTAAATTTAAATTTATCTAAAGAAAAATGTTGTTGTTTCCCTTGATACCGATTTATTTTTACGTTACATAAAATATGTAATGAACCGATAAATCTCGATGTTGTAGTACAAAGGCGTGTGCACGATCGTTGGATTTGTTCCTTAAACATAAAATTAAATTTAACAAGTAATTTTGTAGTCGTGATAAATTATTTTATCCGTCATTATTGCTTCATGTTTACAAGATTCGAAGTACTTTCTAATTCAAGTCATCATCATAGTCATCATTTGTATTTTTTTTTTATTTATCGATCAAATAAATATTAAAAAATTTTTTTCATTTTTTCTCTGCATGATTTCTATATTATACCTAAGTATACGGTATTTTTCACAAATTTACTGAACTGATTGAAAAACATTTCCTCAAATATTCATTTCTTCAAAATATTCACTTTTTTATATCATTTTTGTCATTATTAGTTCAAATGTTAGTTATTTTAGTTTATTTTATTATTAATAATAAAACAATCAGTTCAAATTTAGAAAAAAAGAATCAGTTTTCTAAGTTACCATTTTTGAATCATTTCAAGAAAAATTTGAATTTAAAATAATTTGATTCTTGTATTAAATTTTTGGAAATAATTGAGGCCTTGGATCCAATAACTCGCCCGACGCTCGGAGGAACGCGCAACTGCCAGTCAGTGAGCAGTGAGCGCCTCTGGACCACTCACTGCTACCCGACTGGTATTAGCGCGTGGCTTCGAGCGTCGGGCGAGTTATTGGATCCAAGGCCTCAATTGAATTGTTTCACAGAATTTTATTATTAAAATTTTTGCAAATAATTAAATTCTTTGGAGAAATTTAATTGAAATTGTATCAAAGATAATTGAATTCTTATAACAAATTTTATCATAATTTTTTTAATTAATCGAATTTTCTTGAGAAATTTTTTTTTAAATAATTGAATTTTTTCGAGAAATTGTATTAAAATTTCTTCCAATATGTAATTTTATTACTTACATGAAAGTATTTGAATTTTTGCAAAGTAGTTTATAAACATTTTTTAAAATAATTGAATTGTTTTCAATAATTGTGATTGAAATTATTTAAAATAATTCAATTTTTCTAAAGAATTTATGAAAATATTTATAAATTAATTTATGGAAATTTATCAAAATAATTAAATTTTTGTCAAGTATTTTTATTTTGAGAAATTTAATTGAAATTGTATTGAAAATAATTGAATTCTTATAAAGAATTTTATCATCATTTCTAAAATTAATTGGATTCTTTTGAGAAATTTTATTAAAATTGTTCTACCAAGAATTTTATTAAAATTTTTTTAAATAATTGAATTCTTGCTGAGAATTCTATTAAATTTTTTTTAAATAATTGAAATTTTTCGAAGAATTTTATTAAACTTTTTGAAAATAATAATTGAATTTCTACCAAATAGTTTTTAATTTGTTTTAAATAATTAAATTTTTGCCA